GCAGCAGGTGAGCAAATCCCCGGCGGAAGCTTCAAGCAGCAAAAACAAGTGTGGTGTGAATGGAGAAAAGAGGAAGAGAGCAGCAGCCTTGTTCGCGACATCCGACATTATTTCGTCTCTCGTTCTGGGCTCTCTCGGTCTCACTTCCTGAAGTGCCTGCTTTGACTGCCTGTCTAAACCATCATCATCATCATCTCGCTTTTTTTTTGGGGGGGTTCCTCTTCATCATCGGTATCCCATCCCTTCTTGCCTTCCCTTTCCCCTCTAATTACCTACACTACCTACTGTGTACTCCATCTTCATCTACTCAATTATGGTAAGGTAGAGGTGGTTGTTCAAACAACTGCTGCCCTTGGCTCTGCTCTCTTGCTGGCCCTGACTTGGGTACTTGGATGTGCCTTGGTTCTGCCCGTCGACCGCCCGCTCTCTCTCTCTCTCTCTCTGCTTGCTTGTCGTAGCCGTACCTAGCGTGGAGCGTCCGTCAGGCCAAGCATGGAAAGTCCACAAGTACTCCCGTACCTTACCCTCCTCCTCCTGCTCCTCCTCCCACTTTGCACTCCCCCACTCCCCTTGTCAGCCAGAAGTCTCACTCCCACGCTCTTCCCACTCCCACTAGCCTGCCCCCCCTTGTATCTTATACTTACAGGGTTCCGCCGTCTACATGTACATCAGCCCCTGGAGGCCTGTGTACTCCGTACTGTACCTCGTCTCGGCCAAGTACCTTTTTTTCCCTCCTCGCTCCATTCGCAGCCCTTGTCCCTTATTCTCCTTCTCCTCCACCACTACCACTACCACACACCTCCTCTCCTCTTCTCCTTCACGCCCTGCCTCACCAAACCACCCGCTTTCTCTTCAGTTTTTTTTCCCTCTCAATTTTCTGCGCCGTGCCTTTTATTTGAACACCCGTCTTGCCGTCCGCGCCTCTTCTAACCCTCTTCCTCCCATTAGATGGCCGCTGTCTCCAAGACATCCCGACCTCCGAACCACGAGCCATTGTCAAACGAGGCCAGCTCTCAACCTCTCACACACAAAGCCAACCCCAACCCTACCAGTGCTAATCCACGATCCACCGCTACTACCACCACCACCACCACCACTTCCAGCACTCCTCCTTCTGTTGCTGCTGCAACTACCACTGCCACCACCACTACATCATCATCGACCGATCCCTACCACGCTCAACAATACCAACAACTCCAACAGCAACAGGCGCCCTCGGTGAACCGTCCGTATTATCGCTCTCATCACCATTCGCCCTCTACCAGTTCCCTCTACAAACTTCAGCGTTCTGGTGGTATCTTCGGCTTCGCTGCTGCCGCCTTTGACAAAACCCAATCTGCACTCGCTACCTTCTCCTCGGACCAGTCTGTCCGCCAGCGCGCCTCCAGTTCCGCATTGGGCCGCGCTTCTTTGACCCCCGACTCTGCCTCCGACTACTCTGCCAATCTGGGTTCCCAAGACAAATACCCACGATATTCGAGCCCCTCCAATTACTCGTCCTCTTCCAGCAGCACCTTGAACAACATAGAGGGCAAGTATCCAAGCCAGGTGTCGCTGGTACAGGATATCCCCTCTCAGCCATATAGCGAGACCGATCCGACCAGGCCACTTCCCATTCGATTGCCGAGTATCGAAAGCAAAATGCACCAAACTTCCTCGCGGCTTCTCCGCATGACGGATGATGACCGGCCATTCACAAAGGTCAGTCCCGTTTCTCTCAATTCTGATCCACCCGACGAGAATCGCGCATCTAGTGCCCGGTCGCATTCCCGGTCGTTTCGATCGAACTCCGCGATTCATAGATGGCTAACGTGGAACAATGACAGGACTTCAAGGATCTCTACTCAACACTGATTGTCAGCCTTTTGCCTTTGTCTGCACATCGAGTCCGTTTAACACGTGTGGAAAACACGTTCTTGTCCGAAGATGCGATCAACAACTTGGGATCCCTCAAGTTTTCTCAATCCAACCGTATGCCCGACCCCAAAGACCCCTCCAGAATAGTTACGACGACCACAACGACGACCTTTTCCATGGCCAAGGACATGGCACGCTCCATTTGCCAAAAGTTCCTTGAGGCAAGATTTATCGAGTCGGCCGATGGAAAGTACCAACAGGTGTACAACATGAAGGGTTCCGTGTGGCAATTGACGTCCAAGGGCGTGACCGTGTTGGATCGCTTCTGCTCACGCAACGGTATCCAACAGAAGTCGATATCCGACTTGGTCGGCGCGACTCTGTCGCAACTGGTCATTCTCGAGCGTGACGGCCAGACGGACAAGCTCATTACGGATCGCGGCACAATTGAGGTCATTTTCAGGAGATTTATTGGAACACACGGCCCCAACGTCAAGTCCAGCGTCAGCTCAGCCGATTCGGACTCACTCAGCGACTACAAGGATGGCTTGACTGGTGTCAAGATGGCTAGCGAGCGTAAGGTGAACGGCAAGACGTACAAAGATACTTTTACTGGCAAGGCCGCCACTGATTGGTTGATGGACTGCTGCACAACCGTAGACAGGCGGGAGACGTACGACATCGCGTCCCTGTTCGTGGAGTACGACTTGATGGAGCCCGTGGTACAAGACCGCGCTCATATGGCACAATATCCCAGCAACAACCTGTTCCAGCCCACAAAGCATGCTATTTACCAATTGACGGCAAAGGGCAAGGATCTGATCAACGGTCTTGGTTCGCGGGGAAGAACGTCAGAAAGCGAGGTCGTCACACCCTCTCGTAACGCTATCGCGCGAGATTCCAACACCCAACGGCTCGACAAGATTCTCAACGACGCAGCCCTTCGTCTGCTCTTTAGAGAAAATCTGCGCGAAACACATTGCGAGGAGAATCTTTCCTTTTACCTCGACGTCGACGACTTTGTCCGGAGCTGCCGGCAGGCGATTCGGGTCGCGCAGAAGAACCCGAACGCGAGCTCAATGGACGGCATCAAGGAGATCATGGCCCAGGCGTACGGGATTTATAACGCATTCCTCGCCCCCGGCTCTCCCTGCGAGTTGAATATTGACCATCAGCTTCGCAACAACCTGGCGACTCGAATGACCAAGGCTGTCGGACAGGACGTAGCCATGATCGACACTTTGCAAGAGGTCATGTCTTTGTTTGAGGATGCTCAGAACGCAGTTTTTAAACTGATGGCAAGCGTATGTTTATTATTCCGACTGATGAGCCATGGAATGTGGGAATTTCCATACTAACCCGACTTGTTTTTGCAGGACTCGGTTCCCAAATTCCTGAGAAGCCCCAAGTACGAACACACCCTGAAGAACTACGATTTCGACTCAGTCACCGGCGGCGGCCGCGGCTTGGAGCGAAGCACGAGCCGATCGAACCGCAAATGAGGAAACTTTTGATACTACGCAGCTCTTCTCCCCCAAACTCAATATGAGATGACACTTTTGTGCACAATCTCATCACAACAAGACCGATCGCGTTCCTAGGATCGACTCCATCGATACTGGCACACGCAGGCCGTTTGGCAAGTCTCGGCACTTTCCTCGAACCATAATCTTGTGCATACGTGGTGGATGGTCTTTGATTCATTAACGGGCGGTGGGCAAGATCTTTCAGTTTTTCCAACAGAGTAGCCCCAAACCAGGGTTGATCTTGGCCGCCATCTTGATTATTTTGGAAATGAAGGCGTTGGGGATGGAACTATTCTTAGAGGGAGACCCCATGAGTCGGCGAAACTGACTCCGCTTGCGCATGACCACGTCGTCATCATCACATGCGGACTCGACTTTTTTGATTCCTCCATTTTTTTTCTTCTTCTCTTCTAATTTCTCATTTTGTTTCAATCATAACTGGCTGGGTGGGGCGGACGATCATAGAAGGACGGCATGAAAGAGCGCAGTCTCAACCACGACCCCCGAGACGAGCTTACGGCGACGGATGAAAGATTTTGTTCGTCACAGAGTGGAGGACGAGGGCGATTCCGCTGCCAATTGGTATGCCGGAAGTGGATGTCGTGTGGACATCACGAAGCGAGTAACTTGCTGTGGCATAAGGGGGATGGCAAAAAAAGGGAGACGAGCGGTCGAGGAGCAATTCTGGCCCATCTGTACATATCTCAGAGCTCCGCGAACCGAGTGGGGACGCACAACGCTCAACCTCTTCAAGTAGCCTCCGAATGAAAGGAAAGCAAATGAAAGCGGTACCACAAACCTTGCCATGATCGCATGCTCATGTTCCCCTGTGTGATAGGAATGCTTCAATGATGAAATCTGCAGAGCTCGAAATAGGATGAGAGAAAGGAGTCGACACAGAAAGGTGTGTTTACTCCTGGTCCCCCTTCCATGTGCTTGCTTAATTTCATCCCATCTACCTTTAGTTTCCGTCTTTGCCGACTCTCTTCCCTTCTGGACCTGAAGGGTTGGAATGCGCCACATTACCGGCGGCCGGTGGAAACATTCTTGGCAGCTCAACGGACCACAACAAACACGGGCCCGGGACGACTCCACCAGCATTCCCGGCCGCGAGTCCGGAGCTTCTTATTGGTCTCCAACGGCCAAAATTCACAATCTCTCATCTTGCCGTGTTCCAGAGGACGCCTCTCCTTTCTTCCAGTAGAAAAGTGGGAAGTAGTCGTCGTGTTCCTGAGACATTTCGTTGGTTCCCGGCTTAGCATTTCCTCTCCCTTTCCTCCGTCTGCAAGGCTAAGCCTTTTCGTCAGCTTGTCTGGGTATCGCCAACCCCTGAGCGTGCCGTTCAGGTGGATATCTGAGAGTTATTTTGGTTATGATTTGAACTTTTGGTGTGTTTTGATGTGTTGTTGTATCGGTATGAGATTGACATAAGAAGGAGGCTCTTGAACCGTTCTTGTCACACCTTTCTTTCCTTTCCATCCCTCACACACACACACATCTCACATATATCCATCCAAGAACTCTTTCGTTTGTTCGGAGGTTCCCCCCCTTTCGTTTAATTTGCTTCAATTGGCCTCAGTCACTCTCTTGAATAAATCCAAACATTGCAACTCACTCTCCTTAACCAACAAAACAACCAAAAACTTTCAAACAATCATTAACTAGCTCTGTTTGCTCTCCGGACAATCCTCACAATCTCTCTCGCAACTCTCTCGCTCAGCAAGTAACTCGATAACCGACAACAATCATCAACAACTACAACTCACACACACTGACTCCACACCAACCAACCAACAGCCAAAATGCAGATCCAATCCGCCCTCGTCTCCCTCGCCCTCGTCGCCGGCACGGCCTCGGCCTACGAGCACGTCTACACCAACGGCACCTACACCATCACCAAGGTCTGGGACGCCGTCACGACCTACTGCCCCCAGCCCACCACCCTCTGCTTCAACAACCGCACCTACACCATTGACCAGCCCACCACCTTCATCATCCCCGACTGCCCCTGCACCCAGACCTACGTGAGTACCTCACCTTACCCTCGTTCTCTACTTCTTCCCCCCAAAAGCCCCTGAGCCTCAGCTAACAACGTACACCCAAAGACCACCAACAAGTGCTCCGAGTGCCAGCACCCCACCGGCTACGTCGTCCCCAACCCGCCCGCCCAGACCGACGTGCCCCCCGCCGTCCCCACCCAGACCGGCCTCATCACCTGCCCCGGCAGCCCCAACTGCCCGCCCGGCGCCTCGGGATCCGTCCTGCCCCCTGCTCAGACGGGCTCCGCCGGCATCGTCTGCCCCGGTAGCCCCAACTGCCCTCCCGCTGCCTCCGGCGGCGCTGGTGGATCTGGTGGTGCTGGTGGATCCGGTGGTGCTGGCGGATCCGGCGGTGCTGGTGGCGCCGGCGGTGCTGGCGGTGCTACCCCCAGCCAGACCGGCGCTCTCGTCTGCCCCGGCAGCCCCAACTGCCCCGCCACCGGCACCGCTGGCACCAACGGCACCAAGCCTACCACCGTCGTCGTCGCTGGCGCCGAGAAGAACGCCGCTGCTGCTGGTGTTGCTCTCGTTGCCGGTGTCGTTGCCGTTTTGGCTCTGTAAAGGGGTCGAAAGCTTTTGCTTGTCCTTCTTGGCTGGCAATAGTTACCGATTTTTGCATGGCTTTTCCTTCCTCCTTGGAAACTCGAGTTGCACCTGTTCTCTTCTTTGTCGAACCGTTTTGGTAATGGGGAGAGACTTCCAAAGAGGAGAAGAGGGAGGACCTAGAGACCCCATGTTGTCGTGGGCGAGAGGCTAGAGGACGGGAGTGAAGTGAAGCCAGATTCGCCTGCGCCTTCTGCACTCCTGAACCTTTTGTTTTTTTCGTCTCCTTCACCAGAGTTGAGAAGGTCTCTTCGCTTCTCCTCTTACAATCGTCATCTCTTCCTTGCGGACGGGTTTTGAGAAAGAACAAACTTTTTGCAGTTCTGGAATCCATTGGTGGTTTGCAAACTCGGCTTATCCAAGCCTTGGAAAAGTGTGTGGATCCAACATCATTATTGTTTTAGTGTGTGTGTGTTTCTTGTTTTGTTGTTCATCATCATCATTGTTATCACGCCCCGTTATTGTATTACGCCGATTACGCCCAGAGATGAGGATACTTCTGAACCTTGCATTGGGGAAAATTAGACGAGAAGGAGAGAGAGTAGAGTGGTTGGAAGAGGCAGCAGCAGCATTTCTTATGGCAGTATCCCGCTAGAACCCGGGTGAAAAACTGGGGGAAAGGGGCGGGATGGAAAACTGCTTCAGTGGATGAAATGGGGACGAATGAAGGATCTCCTTTGTTAGAATCTTGTTTCTTTCGCTGGGTTCTGTTACAAGGGGGGGGGGGGGTCGAAAAGGGGTTTCGACTGGTATTATTAACCTACTTCAGCATCATTATCACTCTGCATCCTTATCGCCACCATCACCAACCATCATCATCATTATCCTAATATAGGTGTATTTGCTTTGATACGCCTTTATATACTTTATCCTCTTTTTTTTTTTAGACTTTATAGAATTATCACTTTTGTTGTGTGTGTGTCATATCTGGGCCCATGATGCCTCTTGTATCGTTTGGTGAAATGTCTGTGATATGGGATATGATGGATGCAGGACCTCCTCACGACCGTGTAGTGCTTTTCTCCAAGGGTTAAAGTTGTGTCGCTTTCCCCTCCGGTAGATTCTCGAACTTAAAAGACCAGAATACCCATCCTCGAGGCCACTTGCAGATGATTTAGTTACCTTTGATCTTTTCTGGGCAGTGTTAAGACAATGGGCGGTAAGCTGAGCCAAGGATGGAAAGCAAGGGCGAGGTATGGATTTCGAGGCTTTTGATCAACTTTGTAATCTTTTTGCTCGGTTGCCTATGATTGTCGAGCTCAACCTGGGTAGTCAGGGAGGAGATGGATGAGCCTAAACGAGTAATGATCATGGTCAAGTCTATCCCATAGATGTCTGGAATCAGCATTTAACGATGCGGCCAGAGCACTATGGGCTCGATCTTAGCTGCAATGAAGTCGCAACATCTGCAAGCTGAGGAAAGATCTCGTCTGTATCAGACTCGAGCTGTACAGACACGGTCACATGCACTTGTGAGTCACAGATGCTGATGGCCTTTTATCATTGCGAAAGAGGGGCTACTCTAAAAGTATACGGTGATTGCTGTTGTACGGGCGTTTGATTTTCTCTGCCTCGGTGAAATGCGACCCGTAGAGTAACTGTTGTCCTTTCCCATCACATGGCCTGAAATTGAAGAACCCCACACGTTCGTACCTGTAAGACCTTCGAAATACCATGCCTTCGCAGTCGTCGATGATGCGGCCCAAAGGGTGCAGTATCAGACCGGCAATCTCGACGCCCCTTGCGTTGACGGGAGGTTCCCTGGTACATATCAGTGGTAAGATGACCAGCTCCATGGGGAGTAAATCATCCCGATAAAAGTCAAAGACGAAAGGATTGTAATCCAGTCGCTCTGACTTGCCATCAAGATCTAGCGAAACCCCGTCGTTGGAAATGTCCGACACTTTGAGAGTATAAACGCTGCCGCTCATGCCGATATAGCCTCCGAGTGGTATGCGACGTCCTGCGGGAGTATCGCTGTGGGCACTATGGTAAAAATGACGCGCGAGATGTAAGATGCTCTCATCGCTGTTCACGATGGCCTTGAACGAGACCTTGCCTTGCACGGAAGCCCACGACCAAGATGGCGCGGGATGAGCAGGTCTGGGCTTCTTTTCCGCCGCAGGGTTCAAGCTCCAGCAGATTTGTCGGGCGATGTGTGTGTCCCATATACCGAAAATATATCGACTCAGAGAGGCATTAGAAAAGATGCCTGCCATTCCATCCAAGGCCGCGAGCTTGTCCTTCTCATAGGTCAGGCTACAGCCAGAGTACTCCTCAACCAGGTGCTCCCAGACAGTTGCAAAAGTTTTGTCATCCTCTGGTGAATCCTCTTCCTCTTGGGGGCGCATTCTGCGAATTCGGATGACGCCTTTCTCACGCTCGACCACGTCAATGTCTGGTGCCACCGGTATGCCGTCGGGCAAGCTCTCACAGGTAAGGCGCCTTCTACATTTCCAAAAAACTTGGTCTTTACCGAAATGAAGAGTCCTTTTGGGCAGTAAGCGCTCTTGGAAGACCCAACCGCGCCTGTACAGCGGAGCTCTGTTATAGTCGTTTAGGATGGAGGTGTGATCCCAGACGGTGTATTCGCCAGACGGGATATCCGTCCTCTCTGAGCAAACAACAAATGATTCCAAGACGGATGGGTCTCTCGCTCTAAAGAGCCCACCGTTGGGTCCCTCGGAGTGTGCTGCAACGATGTTGCAGGTAGAATTGGAGTACACGTCGTCCATTCTGGAAGACTCCTTCTTCCAGTCTAATGGGCTATCTTGAAGGATGCATAGCGAGTCGATCCAGATGTGGCGAATATTGAAGTGATGAGCTAGCGCAATCGCATCGCGGAAAGTCTTGGGGAGACTCTCTATAGCTGTGTAGTTTTGGAATCTGGGAAGCGTGTCCGATGTAAGCTGTACGAATGGCGAAGAGCCCCAGCGGTGACTTAGCGTGAGATAGCCTCCATAATTGGCAGGCGTTTGATGATGCTCGGTGGCGATGATCCTCCACAAGTGACTGCCTGGGTCTCCAACATCAATGAGCCTGGAAGGTAGCCAGGTCGAATGGCTGAGGAAGACTCTGCATTCGGGGTGGTTTCGGACGCAGTCGTTGAGCCACTTCATCATTGTTCCAAAGGTTTCTTGAGAGTCCATACGTGGGCTCAACCGCGCAGGTGGCTCGTCATCTAATATCTCGTCAGTAATTCCAGTAGCACTGGTAGTAAATTCCCGAGTTCTGAGTCCCCGTACTGGATCCCAATCGGGGCAATATAACTCACCGGGGCTACGCTTGAGGAGATTAAAACAAACCAAGTCATCCAGATCATCCTCTCTCCACGCGCGTCCCGTATGCTGTTCAGAACTAGCGAAGAACAGTCTCACGGGATCGGGTCTCGGATGAAGAATAATATCCTCGTTCAGAACAGTCGAAATGCCCGGGTCCGCAGAGTGACGCGCAAAGCGTTCACAGAAATAGCATCCTTTTTCGACTGCGTTGGCGAGATCCTCGGAAGACTCGTGGTGCTGATTGCGACGTCTTCGACGGAAATCGTCGGCCTTAACTGCCTCTTTGCTGAAAGCATTCTTGCACGCGGTGCAGAGAACAGTGTCGTTTGAGTAGGTGAGGGTTGGATGATGGAGTTGGCGATGTTTTGGGGGTGGGTTGTCGTCGAATTGTATAGTTCGTTTCGTAGTTCCGTCTCGGGTAGACGATTGATTTGATTCTCGATTCATTTTGCGATATGGCTATATTTGTTTTCGGTATAAGATCTGGCGCAGACATCTGACAGCGTGCTTTTTGTCTCGAATCATACACAGGTGTTGATGAACACCATATACGCAGACCGCCCCTTTACCCACATAGTCGTGGATTCGCAAGAAACTCTTGGGATTGGAGGCAATTAGCATGGCATGGAAAGGAAATCCAACTTGAGAATGTGCACGATCAAGTGCACAAATTATCCTTGAATAGAAGTCGTTTTGAATGATAGTCGGAATTGACGAGGGGATGAGAGATAAGTAGCGAAAGCAGCTGAACGTGGAATTGAGGAGGTACAGTTCCAAGTCGTGTACAGTGTGTGTGACTTGTGGACACTTAGCGACCAGCACTGTGCCAACTTCACTGCCTGAATTCGAGGTATCCACAACTTCAACCTCACTCAATCATGAGATCAATTTCTCATCCGAGGTCTGGTGCGTAACGTTCCTCACTCAGATAAACCGAGAATCGAAACAGAAACCTCACCGCTGGAGTTTAGATCAAAGTCTGGAACCCAGCATCCTGGGATCTACGGGCATCTCATCTCACGCACCCGTTACAAGCCATGGAATGAAAGCCTAGCCAATTATCTACGAACCTCTCAACATATTCCGACCACCGGCAGTCAGCCAACATGGATGCCCACGAAGACGATAGCGACATCAAGTTGCAAAAGGCCTCATCAGAACTCATTGCAGAGTTCTCTCGCTCGCTTCCGCTCTTCCTCCGCAAGCCCGATGGCAAGACCCTCCGCGCCCGCGTCAGGGTGTCGGAGACCTCACGTCTGACTTCAAGCGTAAATCCCCCCTGCACTCAATCTCATATTTCTCTATATCAAAACATATTAAACACATGATACTGACACGTCTCATAGCTCCTTGACCCATTCCAAGAACTCCCTCAACTACTGGATCCTCACCTCCCGGAATGGCTCCCCCTCCTTGCATCAACGTACCTGGAGCACCTCAACACCCGCGCCCGCGCCAGAGCCCGGCCATCGGCTTCAACCCGCTCCCAGCTCCTGGAACCCCTGAACCTCGCCATCGCCAAAATCATCTACACCTTTACCAAGATTCGCGGCGAAAAGGTCATCGTCCGCTTCCTCAACGTCGAGTCCCGCCACATCGAGCCCCTCCTCTCGGCCCTCGAGGCCTCAGAGCGCGCCTCGTCGACCGCACGCCCCGCGCTCAACCCCCTTTCCTCGCCCCAGTCATCCGCCGCAGCGACGGCATCCTCATCAAGCGTCATCGCTCAATGGTCCTGGGAAGAGCGCTACCTCGTCCTCCTCTGGCTCTCCCATCTCCTACTCGCCCCCTTTGACCTCTCAACCATCTCCTCCGCCTCCGCTGACCCGGACCTCACCTTACCCCCGATCCCAGACTTTGACTGGCCTGATGGCCTCCCCGGAATCACCGTCCGCATTCTACCCCTCGCCATCAAGTACCTCGCCACCTCCGGCAAAGAGCGTGATGGCGCCCGCGCCTTGCTCGTCCGCATCGCCATGCGCCGCGACATGCAGTCCCAAGGCGTCCTCTCCGCTCTCGTCCGCTGGTCTCTCGCCTCCCTGAAGCCTTCATCGTCTTCCGACTCTGCGACACCGGCGCCGCCGCAGCCACCTTATTTCTACATCGGTGTCCTCTCCTTCCTCGCCGGCGTCCTCCGCTCGTCCATAAACACCTCCGATATGGACGCATATCTTTCGCTCATATTCCTCACCGCACATGCAGTCGCCTCCGCTGAAGACGCCGAGGACACCACGGACACGGCCACCCCGTCCGTCTCGACCGCCATCCGCTCTGTCGCCGTAGCGCGCAAGATGCTTATCAAAGTCATCCGCTCCGTCACCGTTCTCCTCCTACGCAGCAACAGATCCCCCTCAGACCAGCAGAGCACCGACGAGCTGGTCGAAATGTCTATAGGTTACCTCCTAGAATCCCTTGCCGACAACGACACCCCCGTCCGGCTGGCCGCCTCAAAAGCCCTGAGCATCGTCACCCTCAAGCTCGACCCGGAAATGGCCTCTCAAGTCGTCGACGCCGTCCTGGACTCCCTCAACCGCAATGTCTTTTGGACCCGCGACCCGGGCACCCCCAAAGGAGCCTCTTCTGCCACCACCACCACCACGCGCGACCTCACAGCCGTCGACCCCCTAGAATGGCACGGCCTAATGCTCACCCTCTCCCATCTCCTCTACCGCCGCTCTCCACCCGCGTCTCAACTCCCCGCTATCGTCCACGGCCTCCTCCTCGGCCTCTCGTTCGAGAAACGCAGCACTTCGGGCGGCTCCATCGGCACAAACGTTCGCGACGCAGCCTGCTTCGGCATCTGGGCCCTCGCCCGCCGCTACACCACCCCGGAACTCCTCGACGTCCCCACCGCCGCCGTCGTCGCGGCACGCAGCTACCATCGCGCCGCATCCAACGTCTCCATCCTGCAAGTCCTCGCCACAGAGCTCACCGTGACAGCCTCCCTCGACCCGGCAGGCAACATCCGCCGCGGCGCCTCGGCCGCCCTGCAGGAGCTGATCGGTCGACACCCGGATACCGTCGAAAAGGGCATCTGGGTCGTACAGGCCGTGGACTACCACACCGTCGCCCTGCGCTCTCGTGCGGTGCACGACGTCGCGCTCAACGCAACCAAGCTTTCCTCGCAGTACGGCGCCGCTCTGCTGGACGGCCTGCTCGGCTGGCGGGGCATAGGCGACGCCGACGTCGTCTCGCGGCGCGTGGCTGGCGCGTCGTTTGGCACGCTCACACTGGAGCTCGCATGGCAAGCCGGAACCGGTTCTTCATCGTCCCCATCTGATGAGTCTGGCGGCAGTGATGTTGCTCAGTTCACGGCGTCTATCGAGAGGGTGCTTGGGCGCCTGCGTACGCTCCAGACGCGCCAGGTCGACGAACGACACGGCCTCGTGCTCTGTCTCGCCTCCGTCCTGGATAAGTTCCCCGAGCTGCTCGCTGGCAAGCCGGTCGATAGCGTCACTGAGATCGCTCACCGCATCATCCGCGAACTGGAGGCACTCTTCAAGGAGTTCCAGACGACGACGTATCGTCGACCGGAATTAGTCGCCGAAGCGTACAGCCGTTTAATCACTTCGTCATTCCCTATCCTACAGGCTACTTCATCACCAAGAGACGCAACCATCAACTTAGAGCCAGGCTGCAAGGTCGTATCAACAGACAACACCGAAAATCTACTTCAAGCCATCAAGACAGTCGACAACGCCCACGACACCAACATTATCCCCGATTGCGTAGCAAGCCTGGTCTCAACTTTTACCACCATCGTCAGCGCAGGCCTCGCCCGCACAGAAAAGGAGGCCGTCGCCGCAGCCTCGGAAGCAGCGCTCGTCCTCCTCGTCTTCTCCCCCGCACAAGAGCGCACACGCATCGTCACGGAATGGGCCGGCGCCGTGCGCCAGCGGCCGACGTCGCGCGCGGCCAGCGACACGGGCACGCTTTTCGCGCTGACCATAGCGTACCCCGTCACGACCACCTTTGGCAGCAGCGACAGCAGCAGCATCGTCTGCGACACGATCCTCGCGCGTTGGGCCGGCGACAACGACATTGACACGCGCGTGGCGATCCTGCAGGCCCTCTCGCAGAGCGGCCTGCTACGGGACCAGGCGCTCGTCTTCCTCGACCTGCTGGCGGAGGGCCTGAACGATTACACGACGAACGCGAGGGGCGACGTCGGGTCACACGTCAGGTTGGAGGCGCTCAAGGCGACTAGGTCATTGTGGACTATGGCTCTTGGTGCGGATCGCTCTCACTCTACTGGGGATGATGATGAGGGCATTGCCAGGGAGAACATCAACGACAACAAAATGGAATGGCTTCCCGTGGCGGTCTCGAAGCTGTTCCTTCGGACGTTGCGACTAGCTGCCGAAAAGCTGGACCGCGTAAGGACTGAAGCGCATGCGGTCCTTGCTTTGACTGTTGAGCCTAGGTAAGGAACACCCCTCGCCCGTTTTACCCCTAAGCTATCTTAACGGTCGTCTCATGAATGGCGAGGGAACGGAAGAACAGAAAGGTGCTCCAAACTAACAGAAAATAGCTTCGCAACAACTTTCACAAAGCTCACGTTTTCATCAAAAACCTACTCCCAAAAACTCTTGAACCTCTACGCGACAGAAAACAGCCTGCGGCCGCCCATCGCGGAGCCGGCCAGGGCGGACGCGGGGGCTTGGATGGCGGAGCTGCTGGCGGGCTACGTCACGTCGGCCGACACGGGCAACGAGGACCTGGTGATTGCGTCCCGCGCGGCGCTGGCCGACTTTTGCGCCGCATCGCCGCGGAACCTGGACGCGGTTTGTGGGGCGCTCGTGAGCAATGTCAAGACAAGGCAGACACCGGGCCAGAGCCAGGGAGACCGCGTGGTAGTGCCGACGCTCGAGATTGTAGCGTTCCTCTGCCACGTCGGGCTCTTCCAGAAGTGTCGCGAGGTCGACCTGCGGCACCTGTGCCTGCAGGTCCAGAAGGCGGGTTACAAGACGGGCAATGTCAGGAAGCTGGAGGCTTGTATCAAGGTGTACGGCTGCGTGGCTGGGTTCGACGAGACGTGTCCCGGTGTGGATAAGGAGGAGAACTTCGGAGAGGAGGAGTTACTCCGGGGTAAGAGACGGGACGGCATCTCAGAGGCCAGGAAGCGGCTCGGCGCGTTGATGTTTCATCCCTGGCCGAGGGTGAGGAGCCTTGTCGTCGACGAGCTGTGGAAGCTGTTTGGGGAGCAGGAGGGTGAGCATGGCGGCGGCGGCGGCGAGTCGCTCAAGAGCGTCGACTGGAGTAAGGCCGATAAAGCCTCCATCAACCGTGTCGTGGAGCAGTTTGCATTGTCTCGGGCAGCATAGTCTGGCACAATAACAATGCGAGCGTTTGGAGAAAAAACGCAGTGACGAGAGATGTTCTTTTTTTCGTCCCAACTACAATTCGCAACCCTTTCCAGTCAGTGCGGTCTCTGCTTTGAGAAGAAAGCGGTTCATCTGCCGGATTGCAACGCTTTTCACGGGAGAGGACTGCGGGAAAGGGGGGGGGGGGTTGGCGAGCTGTCACAGCACTTACTTTCCCTTCCCTTCCCCTTCCCCTTCCCGCTCCCGCTCAGATTTTCAAGGTTTCGGCTCATCCCTGGGGGACCTTTTGTTCCTTCGGCCGGCAATCATGTTCAAGAAAACAATACCAAGTCGGGATAGCAACTCAAAAGTAGAAGCTCAGACAAAAAACCACGTGTGTTGGCAGGCCGCAGCATAACCTATCCAAAGCACGCCTTCTTCATGAGGTCCGGTGGGGGAGGGGGAGGACGGGTTTGATTTGCCCGCTCCCAGACGGTGTGTTACCGGGCAAGGAAGGTGAGAGTTTTGGGGGGAAAGGGTTGCAGACAGCTCGCTGTTAAGGGGCCGAAACCTTCATCTTTCATGCCCGACTTGCTGCCGTGGTATGTATCAACAACATGGCAAAATGTCCCCTCATCACTGCCGGTACGGCAGTGAATCAACACGTACAACGACATTCTGAGTATCCGTCTGTGTTCAATGTGGTCATATCCGACTTCGGTTTTATGAGACCGAAACTTCACGAGAAGCGCCAAGACGTGGTTCATCAAAGCCCTCAATGCTATTAAATGCGTATACCATCCATCGGGCATCTCGCGCGGCCGCCAGCCACCGAGGTTAGACGGACATCTCGCCGGGATTTTGCTACCGACAAAGTACCGATGAATCAATCGCTCTCCCGGGGAGGGCAGCAAAGGCAGAGAAAAATACGCTAGCATTGCCATTTTCTGTCGACTTTTGTGTCGATCAACCTTTTTTGACTTCCGCTATCCAGCGGAAACGAGATGCTGGGCCCGAAACAAAACCAGTAGAATTGTTAATGAATAATGCCAAGCCCCGTTCCCCCGATGGCCCCAGGCAACTACCTAATCGCAAACTTTTAATCTCTTCGTGCAGAAAGCCCGCGTTGGTCGGTCGGTCGATCTCGGACTGTACGTATACAAATGTCTGGTCCAACCAACAGCTTTTTAGCTTTGGAAATCCTTGGGTTGGAGAAATCCTTCAGCAGAAACTCCAGACCCGAGACCGAGTTTGCGATGCTTAAGTAGTAGTAGTGAGAGAGAAGGGCAACGCTGTACTTTCAGATGCCTCCTGTTCACAAATGTAAGCCAAACATCCTGCAAAAACAAATCGGATCCGACAATGACGTTTCATGGCCAGTGTGCCTTTTACCCTTCATGTCCTTTACGTCGTGTAAGCTGGAGAAGTACCGCGTACAAATTTTGCTCACGGACGTTGGTGACGTTTTGTCGATCGGATGACAACGCACGGCTAGTGAGAACCGTAAGGCGTAGAGTAATTCTGCCTGGTGAGCAAGCCGCCAGTATCAGATGCCGAAGCGGATCATAAAAGACAGGTGCACAGGCACAAAGGCACACAGGCAAACAGGCAAGATTCAACAGCCGTAGCCAACTGCTGACTATTCAGTATGACGGTTGAGGCTGGGGCTCCTTGGACTTTGGGGGATCGTTCAGTGCGCAGAATCGGGCCGTTGTGACCGTGCCATTTTCGAAGCAGTGTGCCAGTCAACAACAGACTAGGAGCCGTGAGAGTGTCTTTGGGTCCTGGGAGGATGCGATCGGATCCTTCCATGTCTCAAGATAATGGGATATCTGGTACAGCGGACAGGCTCCTAGGTGATGTGAAATTCCCGCGGGAATTTGTTTTTGCCAGTAATCCGTAGAGGCTGGAAGATTGAGGAAGCCTGCACCGCGTTTTGGCAACGCCATCGACACGCAAGTGGCAGCGACGCCCTGTTGACTTGTTCTTGGGCACCTTAACCAAGGCCGTTTTGCACACGTAACAGACCAAATCGACGTGTTGATAACCCAAGCATGGCTTGATGATCCCCTTGTCAACTTGTTGTTGTAACTGATGCCATTCTTCGATAGTCTGGAATTGGCTCGCCGTTAATATCTCCCTGGCGGTTCTCTGCTGTTCCACGTGGAGTTGACACAAAGAACCCTGGAAAGCAATTTCAGCTTCGACGGACGCAATATGATGGGTGCCGGGGGAGTTAGTCTCGATTTAGCCATGGTGTGGCGGATGAGGTTGACCTCGGATTCCCCAAGGCGCAAGCTGGTGAGACAAAAGTAAGTAGGTACCAAAAGTAGTGCCCTCTCGTTCCCCCCAGATTGAGGGCTTGTCAGGTGGGCACTAGGAGATGGACGGGGTGAGATACCAAGCCCGAAGAAGGAAAGGCGAGTGGCAGTAGGCGACCGAATATGGCGAGGGGTAAGTCGGAGGCGTAGTGCGATAGACGGATGGGGGTGCGGGTATCGATGTGGGATTTTGATAAGTACAAGAGTATTATCTTGAGCTACTTTGGACGGAGAGAGAGGCTGGGATTGGTCGATTGGCGGGCGTCAGGTTAGCGTGGAACTTCCCCCAAGGGCCCAAATGGTATCATTCAAAGGACCTGCTCAGTCGGGCAAGTTGGCAGATATGCAGTGAAACTCTTCGACATGTCTCCGAGGGACCGAGTGGTTGTTCTTTGACAGGTAAACCAGCCCATGTACTTTCAGGAGTTGCATCGATGCGGCCGATTCCGCACAAAGATTGCGAGAATTCAGCCACAGGGCCTGGCTAAGGAAGGATGTTGTTGGGTCGGGAACAATTCCTCTGGTAACAAGGTACTGGTGTCTGAAGGCATGCCGGACAAGCGGTTACTAGACGGATACTAGTTGCAAGTTTTAGACTCGGGCGCCATTGGTAAGGTGTCGTATCTGTTGGTTGTGTGGGGTCTCTTGTCCCCCCAACTTTGGGATTGGCATTATTGGTCCGAATCGAGGCTCGGAGCGGTGTCGTGTGAGCGACAGCGGTGTGAAGAGGCAGACTCGGGAACGCCACGCTGCCTGTTGGTTGGTGTTGTCTCGTGCATCCCAATTGTTTTTCGCGAGCTCTGGGCGTTGAAGAAGGAGGAATCAAGAGGACGGTGATTGTGGCCTTGATTATCTGGAGGAGACGTTGGTCAAGATGGCAGCTGTCTGTTCCAACCGTATGGCCGAAGCTGGTGTAAGCTGGTAAAGATATGATTGGGAAGGCATGGCTGGGGAGGTAGGTACCTAGGAAGAATACCTCATTACTTACCACACAGCACGTATGCATATCTTAGGTAAGGTGCTCAGATAGGCCATCATCAGTGGCGTGGCATGGCATGACATGACATGGCACAGGCGGCGCAGTACTATTTCGAGGCGGAGATAGGAAGTGCCAGTGCTAAGCAGCAGGTGCAGATGCGCATGAGGAACCTTTGCCCTTGCCTTGCGTTGAGGAAGCAGATTGAATCCGCAAGGCACCCTCTTGCTCGATGCTGACAGCCGCTGCAACACTGGATGGCAGATTGCAAAAAAAAAGGACGGGAACCTTTGAGCGCCGCTACTGCCCGTGACTACGGGCGGGACCGGATCTGACCCGCACGGCGTGGCAAGGTAGGGAGGTGCGTGAGACGGATGAGATGGCCTTGTACGTACAGCTTATAGATATATGGCATCCACAAGGCCAATGGATGCTGTATCCGGACCATAATAAGGTAGGTAGTTATTAGCTAAAGCATGATGAGTACGGAGTAGGTGTCCGTACGTGAAGACAGAGCAAGCAACCAACCCATCTCCATTGATCCATCTCGATCGTCACAGCCGAATCGGGCCACTTATGGGACCCCGTGCAAGCTGTGGACTCCATCGTGGTTCCCGGTGACAGGAAACTGGATGGATCTGGCCAGTGGGAGGCGGGAAATGGCAACCTAAGCGGTGGCCCATGCTTTTCCCCCGATGTTCAGGACCTCAAATGTGTGTGCGCTTCTTCCCAAGTTCCCACCCGCCTGTGCCGTGCCCCTTCCTCTCCCCAGAGTGGTATCCGTTCTGTGCCGTTATGATCAGTGGTCAGTGGTGGTTCGGCGGCGGGTGTCGCCCACTTGTCGCTGGCGGGGGGGGGGGGCTTGACCAACATGATGACGAGATGGCCTCTCCCGCGCTGTCCACTGTTGGGGCCGCACGCAGGGGCGGCAAACTCCAGAGCAGGGCAGGACAGGCAAGGCAGGGTAAATCGCAAGCAAGGTACGGATACGGCAGAGACACGGGTGCATCGCTACATCGCAGGGCAAGACATGATGATGTGCCTTGAGTGGACTGCGACTTGCATTTGCCGTTGCCGTGGCCGTTGCGTTTTTCCTCCCTGCGGCCCTGGGGACGAAGACGGCAATGGCGTTCTGGTGTTCGTTCAAAGCAATGTATCCCGAGCTCGTGGGGTGAATGCCACGGTATTTCATATACGGAGTACGGATACTGTCTCTGTACAGATATTACTCCAAATCCCCATGGCGGGTTTTGGTGCGACGCACACCACCCAAGTAGGTCCCTCACTGCCCGCCACAGTCGGCTAGTCTGGTCTCAGAATGGGAAGGGAAAAGAGACAAAGATGGTTTTCTCACCTGACTCGGAAACTGAAAGATATCAGCTCGTTGCCCAAATTTTCGAATACCCAGAAATAGCACCCTGACCGAGGGTGGGAAAAAGAAAAAGGGCATCCATATCCGTAAATGTGAGGAAAGGATTGATAGGCAAACGCAGCAGGTCTACACTTGACTGACTGCTCTTGCACTTGTTCGGCTTTGCTCCTGCTCTCCGTACCTGCCCGCCTGCTGTGCCTGCTTCCTGCCTGCAATCTGCGTTGCTTTCCTTCCTTCCTCCCAACCCAGCCCTTGCTCGACACACGCCCCCCTCTCTTTACCCCCACGCCCAGCCCCCCCCTCCCACGGTTCCAGTCCCTCTTCTTCCTCACCCTCAGTCCTGGATCGCAGCTCTCCTCTTCTAAGTTCTCCGATCTCCAAATCCTCCCCCACCACCGCCTTATCCTAACTATGCTCATCGCGCGCATATACCCTGCATTTCTGGCCTGCCATCGATAAAACTCAAATTTCAGCTGGACTGTCGACTGTCTCGCCTTAGCACCGCTAAATTCTTCGGGACCCAAGTCACCCAACAGCATACTCTCAATTCAGGAACGGCCTAGCCTCATGTCAACCATGTTCTCAAATCTCGAGTCTCGACTTTCCCACGCGGCAACCCTCCTCCTCGGAGATCTTTCCCTGGCGAGAGTGAGACAGACAGCTTCTGATCAGGCAGGGAAGAAGACCTCGTGACTGTTTAGGTACTGGTGTTATCAATTCACAACTGCCAGCGCTATCGGACCGCGATTGATGCCTGGTCTGTGCCATGGTCGGCCGATGTTGCGCACATCCCTGTCTTGTTCAATGCTGAGTAGTGTACTTGGCTGCGATCGTTAGGTGCTGATATCCAAGGGAGGAGCAAACAGCCTTGACCTCGAGGCATCGGACGACGCTCTGATATAGCACTTCTTTTCGATGAATTGAGTTGACTCACCTCACCCGGCGGCAACGCAACGGCCATGGCTTCCGTCTCCTGCGTCAGCCACATGAATGGCTTGGCAACTCGTCAATCTTCACCCCCTCGATTTCACAGGCGTCCGCCGTGGTTTTGTGCCATACGCTTATTCCAAGCCGACCATTTGTCTCCTCGGCATCGGCTGTTGCTTCCCACCCGCGCCAGCTCAACAGAACAGCTACCCAGGCACACGAGGCCGAGAATCGTGTACTCCGCGCCACGCCAACGCTAGAGTTTACATACTCAACTGGGCGGCTGGTTATTACATGACCCGTCCCAGAAAACAGTAATAAAATACGGGGGCACACGAGGTAATGCAGCCGTCCACTTTAGGACGCCAGCCGAGACGCGATTGCGCTCCTCTTCAGCTCCTGCTGCGCTATCCAATTCCACATGCTCGAGTCGGCTGGCCGAGCCCACCATCGCCTCAATCCTATCACCCTTCTCGCTCAATCACCACCTGCGGCAACCTTTCGCCTGTCTACGCCGCAGCGGCAATCAATGGGGCCTCTAATTCACCTCCGGTCTACCAAGAAATCCTGGCAGTGCAGCCAACACCACCGAGAAACCCACCACACGGTCAATATCAGACTATCAGTCCATAAGCCCAGGCTCGGCCGCCTGGCAAAGTCCAATTAAACATGCCGCGGTTATCTATGTCTCTCCTTCTTAGGATTCCCAACCCTCAGCCGTGCAGCGCCATCAGACCATGGCGGCCTTCAAATGCATCGAAGCAACCAAGGAGACATGCATCTTGCCCGCGACCATTGGTACTACCAAGTGCCAAAACCTGTATGCCCTGATCTACTAATAAAGTTGCAAAGCTTACCAACGCGTCGGACCATGCCACCGTCCTTTCTTCAGTCAGCAGGACAGTGCAGAGCAGGGCCGGGCCAATTGGCAACCCAAAGACACTTTGACCCTCCACAGCCAGTGAAAGCCAACCCCTGTCAATTTAACCTGACAGCCATTGGAGTCTGGACATCCTTGTGGGCGACTCTTCCCCGGTAAAGAAAGAGGGCAGAGGGCCAAATCGCCTCCGCATCGTCTCCGCGCGCCTGCGTAAGGACTACGGGGCCTTCGAATTCGCTCAGTATCGAGTAGACCAGTATTCGGACGCTACGCAATAAAGTTGTTTTGAACTCGGCTCGGTTAATCCATACAATGATTGACTCTCAAGAGGGAGTCAGCATGTGGGCTACTGTGTATACTGATTCGATGAGCCAAGGCACTGAATTCGCGACTTTGCCGTCCATGTCAGTCAAGGAGGGGGCGTGCGCAACACGGCCGTTCAACGGCCGGTCCACCAATCCTGCGAAGAAAGGCTGGCCTCTCGTCTGCCGTCGCCTTATCTAAGTGGAGAGGCGCACACGACTGGGAAAACAAGACCACCTCCAGGCTCCCAGGCAGTCAAGACAAGACGAGACAAGTGGAGAGGGGTTTTCGTTGGCGCTCTGTATGTATGCTGGTATACGATAACGGAGTGGCTTGCCAAACCATCCAATGGCTCTAGGGCCATGTACGGTTTCTTGGGATAACAGATACTTTTACTTCCTACGGACTACGGAGACCACGAATCGAGGTTGATAGTGGGACGTCGACGACGTGAGAGACTGCGGCCAAGGCCTTGGATGAGCACGCGGCCAGCTCCGACGCCGACGACTAGGGCATGTGTTCCCTGCTTATGGAGTAGGCCATACCGTCAACACAGCCGATCAAACTCGGCCAGACGACAGGTTCTGCGAGTATCACTGTGTCGACCAAAAGACTGTTGCCAGATTCGCAGAATGGCAACAAGATGCAGGTGGAAGTGCTGTAGGAAGAGATGTGGAGGCAATTCTGTGAGCTTTATTGCGCATGCTGCAACAAACGCAGCAGCGCCGGTTCGATACCCGTTTTGGTCAGGTCTCGACTCTTTGCCCGTCCAGCCGCAGTGTCTGCGCAGCAAGCGCCGAGGCCCCAAAAGACTATTGTCGCGTTCAATATGGAGCCCGCCAAAGTATGCGAAGAAGCCATGCTGACCGTAAAGCGAAGGCGAGCTACAGAGTACTATTCTTGCTTCAACCCACCTTACCTTGCGCCCGGGTGCCGCAGCGAGTGAGACATTGTCGCGGGACACACTCGGTCGAGGCGAACGACTCAAGGCTCAAAAGCTACTTGTCTTTACCACCTTAGCTCCTAGCTTCCCAGCCAACTCCGAATCACCCCCACCAGATGAGCGAATCGGTTATATCTTGAACACGGATTAGCGGCATTCCAATGAGCGTTGGCAGTTCTGCGGCGGCTGACCGCCGTATCTCTCTGTCGGTACGGATACGTACTAGGTAGACTAGAGACACGTAGGTATTCATGGCCCTGGGAAAGGAACGAGGAACGCAAGACAACAACAAACGACAAATGACGATGCCAATACCAATGCCAATGACTGACAGCATCTTGGTCCGCCACGGGCTTGGGATTTCTCTCTCCTGGAAGCAGAGGACACGGCCGGCCTTGACTGATGCCCCTGTGCGCTTTCGTCGAGTGCGCCGCCAATCCGTTCACCCACCCGACCTCCTCACAACTTCTCACCTGTCGCCCTCCAGCCGACAGGATCAGGATTGGCCAGCCAAGAAAAGCTGGTGATGCACACCACCAAGTCCCTGACGGCACACCCTCGCCCAGTCCCTTGTCACTCGGTCCCACACCCCCCCGAACTCTCACTCCCAAGGGCCCGAATCCCCCATTCATCCCTAGCGTGCAAAGGGACCTTCACCAGGTATCCTTGACTGCCCCCCAACTTGGCCATCCCGGCCCAGCCTATCCCATTGCCCATCTCATCCTAGAAGCTACTAGGAGGGCGGCGGTATGCTCACCAGAGACTTGCCTCTATCTGCGTCTACTCGGCGGTGCAGCTTATTACTTCCACCCACTCCTCCGCAGTATCTAGATCAGGCTCCATTCCCGTAACGTTCTCCTTCCACCACATTCGACATCTGTCCGACTTTTCTACTTCGCCATACAGTCGGTCCAAAGGTTTACAGGAATAGGAAGCGTTTCTTGTTCGCTTTTACCGTGGTCGAGACGGTTATGCACTTGGCTCTATCACCGCTTCTAATCACGCCCGGATCCGGCCCGCTTCATGTTGCACCGTTCGTCCCTTCGCAATCGCAAAGTTCATGCATCAGACGCAACAACAAACGCTACAATACCCTCACCAACCTCCCTAGCACCATTGTGCTACTGTTCGATCAACAGATAAATTGCGCTGCTTCAACCTCGAAATAGTCATCAACGTCTTTGCCACTGGGACAGTTAGCCGAGCCGATTCATTGCACGAAATTCGACCCGCCCGCTACGTCACGTCTCGACCTTCGACGACGCATCCTTTTCCTCGCTCGTCGTGCCCTCCGCGGAGGTCGACGGGCGTGGATTGCTCCAGTCCATCATGAGCCTCTATACTGAGCCACCCGAGTTGCGCAGTTCCTCGCAGGACAAGCCTTCGCTATTGGTTTGTTGGTGGATAACGTCATTCTGCACTGTTATTATTCTACTGCGGGTTGCCGGACGCTTCATTCGAACCGAAAAACTATTTCAAGAGGACAAAGTCGCGGCACTCGCCCTGATCCCTCTATGGCTCCGCATGGTTTGCGTGCATTTCGTCTTGCTCTACGGGACTAACAATGCCGAATTTGACGGCATCACATTATCCGCCGAAGTCGAGCGCAGGAAGGAAATCGCAAGCGGTCTCGTGCTTGCCAGCCGGATCTTCTACGCAGCAACGTACGTCACGGAATTCTCTTCATGAACTCATTGATTTTTTTTTTCTTGCGCCCGGCGCCCGCAACACTCTATGCAGCAATTTCATCACTGGATCCAGTGGGACGGTAGGATGGCTTGCTAACGCGTTGTCTGTGCAGACTGTGGATTCTCAAGAACACTATTTTAGAGTTCTTCAAGCGTCTGACTGGCGTCACTTGGGCACGTTCCTACGAACAGACGCTGGTGTTCATCAGATGCACCTTGGTCGCAACCTTCGTCGCCATCATCATTAGCGATTTGGCGGAATGTCGGCCTTTCAATCACTACTGGCAGGTTACTCCTGACCCGGGTGGTCAATGTCGCCAAGGGTTCGCTCACCTTCTCACCATGGCGACATGCAACATCATCACCGACTTGCTACTGGTCTTCTTCCCGATTCCCATTATTCTGCGCAGTCAGATGAATGTGAAGAGAAAGATTCAGCTCACCCTGCTGTTCTCGCTCAGCCTAGCCGTCGTCGGTGTTACTATCTATCGTGTCCCCCATGTCATGAGGGCACATGGCAAACAGCAGCTGCGTTCCGTGCTGGCATCCGTCGAGCTCCTGTTCGCAACAACGGCCGCAAATGCCCTAGTCTTGGGCTCATTTGTTCGTGATCGCGGCTTGAAGAAACAAAAGTTCAAGTACGGCTCCGTGGCAGAAGATTCAATAGATCGCAGAGGCTCCGACTCGCGCCGTCCCACTCTCCATCGCCACTGGGGAAGTGACGAGGATCTCGTTCGAGATGTCGGCCTTGGTGTCGATCCTGACTTGCGAGAACGCGACGAGGAACGTGATGAGTTCGACAACGAACAACAACGATACACTCCCGCACCAATGGCCAAACCGTTTGGCGAGGAGCTAAGACAGTGGCAGTTCCCTCAGCGGCAAAGAAGCAATGCCGAACGCAGTGACGCTTCCCTCTTACCCCACGACCTTTCTTCCTCAAGGAGCAACTCGACCACGACACCGCGCAGGGTCTCGTTTTTCGACGTCGGGGGGTTGCTATCAGAGGAACAGATCGGAGTCGGCCAGACATTCCGCAGGGACAGCATCGTCTCAAGCGTGGATCCCATGTCATCCAGCGTTCACGGCGTCCCATCACCCACTTTGCCCGCTGGATCGAATGGTTTGCGTCGCGGATCAACAGCTCTCTTGCAAGATCTTGGCGGGCTTCTGGGGCCCACGAAACCCTCGCGACAAAGATCCAGGACCGGCACCGAATTGCAACCTATTCCTCAGTCGCAACACGATGACCATCCATCTTACAATCCTCGCCCCGGCGAGCCAACACTTATTGATCCTGGTGGCTTACTGAAGTAATTTGGTAACAACTGCGCAGAAGCTGGCCTGTGGTTAACCACACAATCACCTAATCACCTAACATCACGACTACGAAACTACGACTACATTTTATGAGACAGTATATGTATATGTATATTGACGATCTCAGCGACATTGCTGAGGGCTCTTTTTTGGACATGAGGAGTTATAGAGGGTTAGAGCCTTTGGCCGGCGTTTCTATAGGTCAATGGGGGACCGGATACGACCATACCTTACGTTTTGGAATTTTGAGGGGAAGAACTACTTACGACCAACGGGAAATGGGGTGTTGGAGGAAACACCCAGGAGCGGCCTTCACGATGATATCTGAACGCCGTCGTCTTTTTGCTTCGCTGTTTATCGTTATATATACCCCGGCGCAAATAGCCGTCATGTTTTGCACCTGAACAACTTGTTCCAATACCATCACCATCTATAAATGACGAATGATTCTCAATGTGTACCATTTCCTCCCCCCTACTATCCTGTCCGCTTGCCTTTTTTCCGCATCCGCAGCAACGCGAGAAGCTCGGTCCCGGAAGGCCTTTTCCATGATGGCCTGGGCCCTGCATGCTTAACGTTTGTTGCGCATCTTGGCCGACGACCCTGTTCCCTACAAACGTCAACGACTGACTCTTGTCGCATTTTGCCTTCTGCCAGCAGGATCCCTTCTACAATTTACCCCTGAGGTGGTGGTGGACTGTGGCCATGGTTCTTCCATCCTTTCTTTAGAGTTTTCTTGGCCAATTACGTTTTTTCTTCTCGACTTCTTTTAGTCTTTTCTTTCTCTTTTCGCGGCTTATTGATAGTTGGTCCGAGTCCCGACGGATCAACTTTTTGAACCGTGGCTATCTATCTATCTGTGTTTGCCTGACTCAATGGCGGCCGCTTGACGTCGGGCGCCTGACTCTTTCCCCTTATTTTGCGAGGTTTGGGAACCCCCCGGCCTCATACTTTACACACTTCCGCATTTTTGCACTTCATACCTGGTTATTCGGGCTAGGTCTGGAGCCGACCCGAGGATCCGAATACGTTATGGGTTTTCGGGAGAGTAAGCATTGATTACTTTGTATGTCGGAGGTGCCTGTTTCGGTAAGGAGATTGTTGGGTGCGTGGAGAGCGATGGGTCACGATAGTGCCTTTACTATACCGGACTGAGAAGATCAGAGGAAGATAGGGTGAAGATCGGGAGAAGAGGAGAAGGGGGGGGGGGGGACGCTGAGATCGTTTTTGATATATAAGGTACACGGGAACCCATACGGCACATGGTGAATATAGACAAGAGAAGGACATTGTGGAGGTTACATAGGGGCGTTCGTCTCGTGTATCAGCATCTCCCTTTCTATATATCTTTCCCCTTTGTGGAGGGTATCTACTTTATACTATACACGGTGGATCAAGGGGCTTAGGTGTTTCCTAGGTTATGATCGGTTATTTGATGAGATATAGGAGCTCATCTGGTGGTGATGCGTGGGGTGTTCATCCAGTGTGTCGGTCCCTATTCCCTTTGTCTTGGAACGTATCCGCGTTAAGGGGTCTTACATTCTAGACGCGGATGGTGTAGGGCTTTAATGGCGGAGGATTTCCCTTTTATTGTCCCTCTGAGAGTAGGTTGTTTATGACACAGGGTATAAAGATGCGTCATATGAGTGGCCGAGATGAAGAAAGTCCCATGGTGATTTAGGGCCGTCATGACCCTGCCAAGTTATAGTCGGCGGCCAGGCACCTCGCCCGCATCCTATCTAGCTACGTGCCTCAAGACTATTGAAAAGGTCGATGGCATGTATACCCTGGAACCTTGACGCGTCTTAAAATGCATGCAACCAGAAGTATTTCAAGGATTCTGCGAAATATGCGATTGATGAATATATCGGGGTCTTTGAAGTAGATGGAGATAGAGGTACAAGGTAGCTTCATGTCAAGAGTTTCTTTCTTGCGTCTGTTTCATCTCAAGACTGTCGGTCAATGTTGACAAGACAAAACATCCCCGATAACGGCTATTGAGTATATGCCGGATTTGTGAGAAGTCGGCTCACTTTGTATGATGGAGGCGTGTTTGTTGCCAATGGCTGGACAAACCGAGCTAAGAATCTCTGGTAGTGGATGAACATTGAGCCAACATGGGGCATAGATTTTGGGAGGAGGAGGAGGAAGAGGAAGTGAGGTTCTTTTCCCCGTAGTGAGCTGATCGGGTTCCTCTCATGTGCCGATGAGGGGCGTGGTCGAGGAATTGGCCTTAACGATACTGGTTTCGTTCTTGGGTTCCCCCCGAAAAGCTGAAAAAGTGACGACTGTAGTCAACTCATATCGTATTTCACTCAATTAATCAAGATAACGAGATGTGACGCCCAAGGAGCAAAAACATGTGAAAAAAATAAGTTAGTTATGTTATCCATCTAGAGGAAGCCCTCCATCTCTTTTTTTTGGTTGTCGTACACAAAACAGCAGACCGTAGCCGTACCCTCAACGCCAGACTCAAGAGTGATGCAAAGAGTATACTGAGAACTCCCTTTCCCCCGTCTACCAGGGCGTCAAGTCATCCTGCCGGAAAGGTGAGTCCCCAGTTCCAGCCCCCACGTTGACCCCTTTCTTCCCGGTTTTCCCCTCTTTCTCATGTCTTGCCTTCTTCAATCAACCACACGCAAGACCCCCCCTTTTTTTTACACGCACAATCTGTAACTGGCGTAACGACCGGCCGTCTCCGAGGTACGGATAATCTTGACGACGTGCCCGCGCTTGAGACCGAGGTACTTCGCGACGGGGTCCTTTTGCAAGATGCGCGGCAGCTGCGTCTCCTTGAGGCGGTAGCGCTTGAGGAGGGCAATCTTCTCCTCGCGGCTGAGGAGGATGTGCTTGGGCACGAGCTCGTGCTGGGTGATGTTGACGAGCAGGTCGTCCTCGAGGAAGCACTCGACCTTGGCAAAGGACTCGATAGTGACGAGCATCTTGCGGGCGGCGGGGGAGAGGGGCACGTGGGTGACCATGATGCCGGACGAGTACTTGTTACTGATGAGGTGGTGGATGAACTTCTTGATCTCCTTGATGCCGAACGTCGTGTCGGCGAGGAACTCGACCCAGAGGGTGCCGCAGTCGGGCGTCGGGTTCGGGTTGTTGGGCGTCGCGGGGGGTGTGAATTTGCGGATCATGTCGGCGGAGGGGTTCGCGGAGAACTGGAGCTTGCCGCGGCTGGAAGGCCATAATGTTAGCACTGGGGCCTTGAATAGATCAAAGGTGGACGTACTTGACGCTGCCGTCGGCGCTGGTGTACTCCATCTTGAAGCGGTCGAGAGAGATTGTGAGTTCGTCCTCGGCGAGTTCATAGCCCTGCGATCCGTCATCAGCACAGATTTCGCCAAGGAATACATCGTCCGCCGGGGTACGAAGAGCATCAGAATGATGCTCTTCCTTATCGACGGAAGATTAGGGGGTCCGTACGCGGTCCGCAGCCATCTCGTGGGCTGTCCTCCATGCTCTCCACAGTCTGGTAACCTCCTTGTTGACGTCCTTCTGGTCCGACATCTTCGCGATGCTGCGTCGTTGAAAACTCTTCCGTCGAATTCGTGGATCAGGAGCGATGTCTCTGTCGTCGCGGTTATGTGGGTAGATCGAGTTGAGGGCGTCGGTGGTGGATTGGTTCTTGTCGCGACGAAAAGTTCGAGAACCTCGAAAAAGATTGGCGTCGCAAAACGGATTCAGCCAAAAAGTTCTGGCGGCGGAATCAGCCTTGCAGGCCAGAGCAAAAGTTTGAGTGGGGCCTTTGGACTGTGGTTGCTTAATCCTGGTTCGGTCCCGGCAGCAGTCGGGTTCTTCTGGAACAACTTGGGAGAGGTTAATCCGAGACAGAGACAGCCCGGAACAATCTGGACTCGATGATGAGGTACGTATCTTTTATTCCTGGATGACAGACCCCCAGCAGCGTTGAGGTGAGTGGCAGGTGCAAGGTGCACGCTCCAGCCACGACTGCCACGGGCCTTTCAAGGGTCCAGAGTCGCAGTGCACGCACGTGCCACCTTTGAGGTGAACCCCACAGTCAAGTCCAGGATGGCAGGTGGCCTTACCTTCTGGAGAAGGTACCTGCCACGGAACCCAAAAGAGTGAATTTCAACAAAAATTGGGGGATCCTTTTGACGAAAAGTTCACCCTTCGCGTGGTTAATTCCGATTCCACTTCTCCATCTTCCATCCTCCACATCACCAACCCGACTTTGCTGTCCACCCCGACCACGGCAGTGTGCGCATTCGCCAGCTTTGCTTAATTGATCATCCTTTTGCATCAATTAACAAGCTCCTCCCTACCTTCACAATGGCCGACACCAAGCAGGCACCTGCTGCTGCTCCTGCGGCAGCAGAGACCAAGACCGAGACCAAGTCGGCTCGTCCCACCATGCCCGACGAGGCTGAGTACCAGAAGAAGCTCAAGGTTGCTGAGAAGGAGCATAAGGAGGCCCTCGACCAGCTGGTAAGTTTCACCTCTAATCCCATTGGCGACTTGCTCCTTCAATCCCTTTTCCGACTGGGAGAATCGCAATCGAACGCCAGATAACCGAAAATGACACATTGCCATTGGATCGCAAATGGCTTACACAATAACTTTTCCAGAGCGCTATCAAGTCCAAGATCGAGATTGCCATGCCCAACAAGAACAAGGAACAGCAATCCCCTACCCAGAAGCGTCGCGCCGAGCTCATTGCTCAGGCCAACGAGATTCGCCAGAAGCAGGGCGCCGGCAAGAACGCCCGCACCTCCAAGCTCGACCAGATCAAGCGCCTCGACGAGCAGATGCGCTCCCGCATCAACGAGCAGAAGACCGCCCGCTCCAAGGTCAACTTCAAGAGCGTCGAGGAGGTCGACCGCCAGATCGAGAAGCTCGACTCCGAGGTCAACTCTGGCCGCATGAAGATTGTCGACGAGAAGAAGGCCCTCGCCGAGATTTCTTCGCTCCGCAAGCTCAAGAAGAACTTCTCCCAGTTCGACGACTCCCAGAAGTCCATTGACGACCTGAAGGCCAAGATCAAGGAGATCAAGGACTCGATGGAAGATCCCGAGGCCAAGGCCATGTCTGAACAGTACAACAAGATCCAGGCCGAGCTGGACGCCATCAAGGCCGAGGGCGACGAGGCCTACAAGAACCTCTCTTCCCTTCGCGATGAGCGCACAAGACTGCACAACCTCCAGAACGAGAAGTACGCCGCTCTCAAGACCATCAAGGATGAGTACTGGCAGCAGCGCAAGGCGGCTCAGGCCCACGAGCGCGAGGCTCGCGAGAAGGCCCGCGAGAGAAGAAAGAACGAGGCCGAGCGCTACCAGAAGGAGCGCAAGAAGGCCGATGCCGAGAAGTTCCTCGCCGACGCCAGCGACCCCGCCTATCTCGAGGAGATTCGCCGCGCCAACAGCCTTCTCCAGTTCCTCGACCCCACTCACAAGGTCGAGAAGGCTCCTCTCCAGGCCGCCAGCGGCCTCACCGCGCAGGCTTCGCGTACTGTTGACGACTCGGGAATTAAGGGTATGAAGGTCGTCTCCAAGAAGGACCGCGACGAGGACTTCTTCCCTGCCGTCAAGAAGGGAAAGAAGGGCAAGAAGGGTGGTGCCGCCGAGGACAAGGCCGGCAAGTTCAACTGCCCGCCCTCCGTTGTCGAGGACTGCGCCTTCATGGGCATCGACCCCCCCATGGCCGCTTCCGACGTCCCCGCCGTTGCCGAGAAGGTCAAGGCCAAGCTCGACCACTGGAAGAGCGACCAGGAAGCCCAGACTCAGCGCGTAAGTTCTTCCGTACAATCATTACTTTGTTTTTCTCTCCATTTCCCATACTGACCCGACTTTTAGAACATCGAGAAGGCGAAGAAGCAGCTCGAGAAGCTCGAGGCCGACGAAGCCAACGGTGTCAGCAACGGCGACTCGGTCGAGGAAGTCACCAAGGACCTCAAGGAGACCTCCGTTGAGGAGAAGGCATAGTCTTCTCACTCACTGACTCCGTCTACAACTTTTGCCTGACTGAAATCCACTGACTCTTTGGTTTGTTTTATCTGCGTGACGTCCTCTCGTAGATATTATGGACTAGGGGGAACGTGAACCCTCTCACCTCTCTGCCTCTTTGTCAACACACACACACACACACACACACACACACACACACACACACCCACCGATACACGCATACGACACCCTCTTTCTCACAAAAAGCACCACACTTGGCATCTCAAAAAAGAGGAAAAAAGGAAACTTCTTTCGGAATCAAACTAAGGGCGGGGGAGATTGCAAAACCTTTTTATAAACTCTCTGGCCTGTTTTTGCGTCTTCCTAGCCAATATTGTCCCTCGAGGCAAAGTGGCTTTCTTGTACTTAGCAGCTTCTTCCCCCCCCTTTGTACCGTTTGTAGTTCCAGCCATATACTTTGAAAAGATGAGAGGTAAAAAGAGAGAAAAAGCTTTTCTTCGAATTTGTCAAAACACGAACGTCCCTCCTTTCTATGCGTTGACCGTCTGTCCCCTGCACGTTGACTGGAACAGCTATGCTCAGCTGTCCAGCAGAATGAAGCTCTTGGGCCCAGCGTAATCATCCTATCCGGTAGGTCCATCCCCAATATCAACAAGCCAAATGTAGTCCACTCAGCCATCAACGCCCATTGGCCCGTTGTTTCTCGGGCTGTCCTCGTCGGGCAGGTGTGCTTGTGCAGCAGGCGAAGGCATGTCATGGCGTGACGTGCTGGAAACGATCCCCGGGGGTGGGCGGGGGGACTTTGAGCAAACACATCGGACAGGTATCACGGCACGAGACAAGTGGTGCGCATGTAGCCTCGGTAGTAACGCTTCTAACGCTTCGGGGTCCCATGGTGCAATCTTATGACGTCCTTTGCGTGCAGAATGATCATCGTTGATCGATCCTCTGCTTCACCTCACTTTCCTTCACCACGAATCCATCCGAGCACGAAATCACACGATGCGTGAGACAATATTTTATATGGTTTATGGATTATTGCTCTAGCGGCAACTGGTTTGAGGGCTGCTGATCCTGTCGAGAATACCTCCCGTAACATCCAAGAAGAGCAAAATCAAAGAGTACCCGGCCTGCGCCGTCGCAAATGCCAAATAATGCCCTCTTTCCGTGATCCGTACTCCGGTGCCTACCCAACCAAAGAAACTGGAACAGGATGAAACCCAAAAAAGCATACAAACGTACGAGACTCAATCACAAATTCCGGGTTGTCTCGAACACAGTAAAGAGCAAATGCGCAAAAAAAAGACGGTGGACTCCAAGGCTACCGCTACGCTTTGCAATGCATAAATGCCTGCTTGTCCCGAATCAATACACCAAAAAAGACCGCTGATGCAGTTCGTGGGTCTCATCAAAATAACATCATAAGAAAATTGCAAAGACGCCGTGATTCGTACCCAATGATATTCGAACTTCAAGAGCTCCTAGCTCTGGATGGTGTGTTTCGTCGATCTCAGCATTCATGGCGGCCCGCCCCATCCATAGTAAGCACCCGCACCTGGAGGTGCGGTTCGTCCATATCCAGGTGGCGGTCCTCCGGGGTGTCCAAGGTGTCCCATGGGCGGTCCCATATGCGGCGGCATGGGCGGCATTTGCCTTCTTTCTCTTTCCCTCAAGGCCGGCGTTCTCCCGCCCATTCTGCTGGGCATCGGTGGCAGGTCCATGCTGGGTGGTGGTGGTGTTCTTCTCCCAAATGGATCTCTGTCATGACTACTAGGCGCAGCAATGGCCGGAGGCCCGCCCGAAGGAGGCCCGCCGCCTCCAATTCTTCTTCCAGATCTATTCTTGGACCCGCCACTGAGGGCGCTTAATGGGGGATCCTTGACGAAAGGGTCATCATCGGGAGGGACGTTCAGCTCGACCAAACTGAAGAAATACTCGAGGACTTCGGGATATCGCTGGACACTGGATTGCCAATCCTCGTCAATGCCGTGCTTCAATGCAGCCTGCGCCTGGGCAAGCTCGCTGGGATGAGGAGGGGCGTGATAGTAATGGTATGCAGTGGCGTTGATGCGTTCAAGGTTAGCAGCGTGAGCTGTCTTTCGGCGCTCGGTGAGTAGACGGAAGTATTCCAGGATGTAGTCTTGCGCGTGAGCCCGAACCCAGCTCCTATGTATCTGGTTAGCAAGAAATGTCCTCCATAGGTAAGCATATATGAAAGATCAGTCTTACCGAATGTCAGTGTATATGGACTGCATCATGCGCTGCTCAGCCTGTTTTATGGCAACATCAAGTCCCTTGGCCTCGCAGTCGCAAGCTGCAGAGGCAGGAGCGTGACATATAGCACAGTCCGGATCCATCCTTGTGGTGGTCTTGCGCGTACGCGGAGAGCGTGGGGCGCGCGGCCTGTAGTCTCTGTGGGAATATGAATACATCTCAGCGAAGGGATCACCAGATGGGACACGAGTGGTCTGTCTCTAGTTGGAGGTGGAGAGGAGGGGAGGATGAGAGGATATTGTACAAGGAGGTCAAGATGGGTCATCTACTACTAGTACAAATGTCATTATCCCTCTCGAGACCCTGAGATGGGGTCTCATGGAGAGTGTTTGGAGAGATTGGGGTTGGGGATGAGGCTCGGCAGCCGGGCAGAGGTAGTGGAAGAAGAGAAGAGAGAGGAAAGCGGTGATGGACTGACCTGACTTAAGAGATTATTAAGAGGGGGCGGATGATTACAGCCCGGCAGAGCGTCGGTGGTAGGGTGAGAGGGAGAGAGAGAATATCCGTATGGTAGTTGGGAATAAACAAAACTAGGACGAATAAAGCGAGTTGCTCCTGTGTGCTGGTGCTATGTATCCTGCAGCATCGAAGCATGAAACAATAAGGCAAGCAAGCAAGTGAGCAGGCGAGTAGCGAGCAGCAAACTAAGGTAGGGTTCCTAAGCGTGCAAGCAATAGAGAAAGTCGAATCGAGAGTATCGAAGTCGTAGTTGCAGTCGTGGTAGACAAACGGTGGGCTCTCATTCAACGAGGAGCAGAAGCAGAAGCATAGGATGCGGAGGAGACGTGGGGAGAGAGATAGCTTGATCCACGAGGACGCAGGTAGATGAAGAGAGGATCGAATGGGAAGGGGGGTTTTGACTGCAGCGTGAGTGTCGTGGCTCGAATGCCAGCAGCTCTCGATATGCAAGTCTTGGGGGGTCCGGCGATGGCCCAATGAAGGGGACGCCAAGCGAGAGAGGTCGTCTGCCCGACCAAGTCCCAATGAGCCTCGATGAGGGGCCCAGTGAGAGGTGGACTTTTGTTTCTTGAGGTATCCGTAGACAAGATAGGTCTGTCTGTCTGTCTGTCTGCCAAACGTAACGGGCCGGAAGAGAAGGGGTGGATTGTAGAAGACGAGAGAAAAATGTTGAAAAATTGCAGTCAGTCCGCAGGCGAGAGGAGAGAGAGAGAGAGCAACGAGAAGCACCTCAGGTCAATCAATGAGTGGAGGGGCAGATTATGTGTGTGCGTTGTCGCCGCCCCTCGTTTGTCGTTCCGATGCCGTTCCCGCCTTTAGCTTTGGGCTTCAAGGCGGTCAAGGGCCAGGGGATGAAGGGGGGGGGGGGGAGAGAGAGAGAGGGAGACGAACGGGCAAGGACAGGCCGCAAGTAGGAGAGCTGCAGCCAAAAGAAGCCGCGGGGCGGTTTGCAGTGAAGCGGGGGTACTTTACAGGACAGGAAGTTGGGTGAACCACTTCCATTACGTTAGGTACCTGTACTCCATACCTACCTCCTCTACGGAGTACGGATACAACCACTGAGGAAGTAAGACACCGCCGATGGTCCAACGGGAGACACCGAAGAGGAAAGAAAGCGGAGAGGGGCAGGAGAAGTCGGGCGGGTCAGCGTTTGCAGGCCGAGACGACCGGCGGGGTGGGGTGGCTGGTCTGCACCTTCCACAACTAAGGTACGAAGTACGCATCACACAACTTTGGAGACACCAGACCAGCAACACCACCACCACCCACCTCATTGAGGGAAAGTTTGATGCACAACGGACGAACCATTCCACACTATAGGAAGGAGGGGCGAGTCACTATTGTACTCCGTATACCAAGGTAATTGATCAGCTGGGAACCAACTTGGTTCCATCTGATGTAACGTCCGAACGTGCGCTTCCAGAACGCCAACGAACGCCTATCCAGGATCCGGCCCAACTCTAGGTACCGTAACTTACCTTAGCTACCATAGGTAGGTCCGGATTGCTCTCAGCGCCATATTGACATCCCTCAATCAATTCATCATACATCACGGCTGCTTTCAGCAAGATGCTCTTTGTTCCGACGATGGGTGCTGCAACGTCCCTACAATGTATCGGGTCATGGGATTAGGCTGGTTGGCTCACCGCATCTTGCCCTACCTTATGCACCTCGCGTCTCGATTAGAGCCCGCTGCATGCGCGCAAAACATAACCGAACAATCCCCTTTCTGTCAGATTATGGATTCGCAAAGAAGCTGTGGCAAGCCATCATTGGTAAGCTGCAGCAGTATTACCACCATGCCTCTGTCTAGGTCGGTCGAATTCATTTGCCTCACAGTTAGCCCCTCTTGGAGCCGCATCTCAACGTCGAGAGATGAAGGAGTGACGTTGAAGAGGCTGAAAAGACAAGCGAGCTCCCTTTTCCCTTTTCAGTCTTCTCATTTTCCCCAGCCAACTCAAGGGGAGCTTACGAGGCAGTGCACGCCGCCGAATTTCATATGTCAGCCCCAGTTTGTTTCCCAATGATTTGGGCACTGGCCCGTCTGACAATACCGTTCGGTCGTTGATCCTGGTCTCACAACGGTCGCTCCCGCCCCTGCCATATTATGTAATCCTATCACCTTATCTTATCGTCGCAGCTACAGATAGCCTACCTAAGGTACCTAAGGTGAAGCACGTACCTTACCTTACCTTACCTCAGATGGGATGGAAGCGTTCAAAATTTTGAGCTCGTCTCAACTCATCGAGTCGCGGGCACTCGACGACAACCATACCTAGCGACTACGACTACAACGACGACGACCATCGGCATCATACGGCGCCGAAAGAGAGACGAACATGGCGCCAAGATGTTCGGGTGGGCATACGGTGTTGCTGCCTTTTCTGTACCCCTCGTTGTTTTTTTCCAAGAGCACCACCACGCCTCGTCTTGCTTCGAGAGTGGTCGCAAGTAGTCGCCGCCATAGCTCCACCCAGGTAGCTCAGGAATCAAAATCCACCAGACTCAACCCAGCTCCCGACGACTATTCCCAGCCCATCTTCGCCGACAAAGCCTCAGTAACCCTCTACGCGGGCCCCGGTGGCCACGGCTGCATCTCCTTCTTCCGTGACGCATACCTCCCCGACGGACCCCCCAACGGCGGCGACGGCGGCCATGGAGGCAACATCTACATCCAGGCTGTACACGGCGAGACGTCACTACACAAGTTAGCTAGGCGGCGCTTCATTCGAGCAGGCAAAGGAAAGTCTGGTCAGGGCAGCTCCAAGGGTGGCCAGCGAGGCGAAGACGTCATCATAACCGTGCCGGTTGGTACTGTCGTCCGCGAGCTGGCCAGGGAAGACCCCATTGCCGAGGATGCGATAATGCAGCGCGCTATGAAAGCGCAAAGAAAGGCCGAAAAAAGGGCCAAACTGGCCCGTCAGGCTGAGTTGGCGGAGCAGGCGAGGCGAGAGCTGGAGGAGGGAATTGAAGAGGAGGATGAAGAGATGGCGGCGGAAAGGGAGGCGAAAGCGAGGAAGCAGGTCGAGGATGAATTCGACGAACCCGATGACCCCGATCGCAACAAGTTCCTTCTGTACCCCGGCCTCTCAAAGTCGGATCTGAAGACGATATCTCTCCCCAAAGCCCCTACCCGTCAGCGTCTCTACCACCAGCCGCCCGGCCCGATCCAGCTCGACCTGTCGCGCCCTTCTCCGCAGCCCATCCTGCTCGCCGTCGGCGGCATTGGCGGACTGGGCAACCCACACTTCACGTCGCGCGAGTTCCCGCGGCCCATCTTCGCCACCAAGGGCGAGCGCGCCGTGACCATGGAGATTGAGCTCGAGCTCAAGCTCCTCGCCGACGTCGGGCTAGTAGGACTACCCAATGCCGGCAAGAGCACCCTGCTGCGCGCCATCACGAACTCGCGCACTCGCGTCGGCAACTGGGCCTTCACGACGCTGCAGCCGAACATCGGCACCGTCGTCTTGGACAGCTACAAGGGCCGCCCCGTGATCAAGAGTTACAAGCGGTATCCCGCCGCTGACCCCGCCTACGGCGGCAGCGGAATACCCGGCGCGGAAGAGGAGGTACTGGTCGAGCAGCGGACCCGCTTCACGGTCGCCGACATCCCCGGTCTCATCGAGGGTGCCCACCTAGACCGCGGCCTCGGCATCGCGTTCCTGCGTCACGTCGAGCGTGCCGGCGTCCTCGCCTTCGTCGTCGACCTCTCCGCCGGCCCGGCCGTCAAGGCTCTCAAGGCCCTCTGGAACGAGGTCGGCCTCTACGCGCAGATGCGCGAGGAGGAAGAGCGCGCGCGCGAGATCGACGCTCGCGTCGACTGGGACCTCAACTCAGGCAGCAGCAGCGAGGCCGCTCTTCCGCAAGGGGGCACGCACGGCACCATGATGGTGGCCGACGCCCCGCCGGCGCCCCGGCAGGAGTCGGGCCTGCACATCGCGGCCAAGCCGTGGTACGTGGTTGCCACCAAGGCCGACCTCCCCGAGACCCAGCAAAATTTCAAAGACCTCAAGGCCTACCTCGACGAGATCAAGCAGGGCACCGCGCCGCACCCGAGCGGGATCGAGAACGCCTGGACGGACAACGTCGCCGCTATCCCCGTCAGTGCAATCAATGGCCAGGGCGTCGATCGGATCGTCCACTGGACTGTGGGACTACTTGACGAGTAAAGAGGGGCGAACGAAGAAATAGAAAAATGTACCATATCATTCTGTATCACCACCACTGTACAATGCCACTTTATGGAAGAATCGTGCTTTGCTCTTCCTGAGAACTTGCTTCACTTGGTCCAGCCCCTGAGATCGGCATGCAAGTACTTACCTGAATGATATGAAAATTGTGTACGTGAAACGCTAACGGCAGCATGTTGCAAAACTTGCCAAGCTCACCATGGCTGGATGAAGTAAGATATCTCCAAGACGTCGGGAGCACAATAGAGCTTGAGTCACTGATGGGGCAAGGTCCATTGATTGCAGTCAATCAGCAGTTGATGCGGGAATCCGCACTCAGATGTTAACAAGAAACTTTTTGGCATTTCATTCGTAATGACTACTCCGTCTAGAGCGACTCTAATCGCCTTGATGGTGCGGAGGTGCTTCCATCCAACTCATTATCCAGGGTTCGCCTATGTGCTCGTAAACCCAAAGCCAGATAGCGCAAAGTAAGAGCTGCTGCTCAACCATAAAAGGTCGACCTTCCAACCCGTTTCTGCTTCCCAAGGGTACGTCCCCCAAGTTCCAAGCCAACCCGAATAACCATTAGAATATTATAGGGCGAATAGTGATCGTGCTGAGACCAAATCCTCTTCTTCTCGCCACGAAATCCTTACAACATGGCGAGAGCAATCGCACCAGCCAGAACAGCAACGCTGAAGGTCGTCGTGGTTGCACTGCTGCCGGGGACAACGGTCGGTCCCGTTGTTGGAACGCTGACGGTTCCATTAGTACCGGGGCGACCGGTGCTGGAACCACCGCCGGAGCCACCGCCGGAGCCTGAGCTCTGAGAGGCAGACGGTGAAGCACCGCCGGTATCAGTGCCCGTAGCAGTGCCAGTAGCAGTAGCACCACCACCGCCGCTTCCTCCCGAGCCACCATCAGTAGTAGGCACCACAGTCGAGAGAGTCGTAGCGGTACCAGCGGCAGAGCTCTGCTGGCTCGAGCCTGAGCCGGATCCACCTCCGGTAGCAGTAGCAGTGGCCGTTGCAGTCGCGGATGCTGATACTGCGCTGCTGGCCTGGGTAGAAGCACTAGCAGACGCAGTGTTTGTGGAGGAGGCCGAGGCCGATGCTGACGAACTAGAGCTGACGTTGTCGCATGAGAGATCGTAGAGAGGCTTGGTGGTCAAGGTCGAGCCAATGACACCGAAGCTGGGATTGGGTGTTGTTGGAGAAGAGTCCTGGAATGTGTACCACCAGACATTGGTCTTACCAAACATGGGGCAGCCGACGTCATTCCAGAACTTCTTTGCGTTCTCGAGAGATGGAACGGCACTGCCGACAGTCTTGCCGCTGACGGGCCAACCAGTCTCAGTAACCCAAACGGGCTTTCCACCAACAGCACCCTGGGTGGCAGCCAAAGCTTCGGCCCAGCGGTCCTTGCCGTCCGAAATGGAGTTGGGCTTGGTGTCCTCGAAGTAGGGGTAAGCGTCCATTCCAATCCAGTCGCAGGCATCGATGACCGCCTTGTTGCTGCCATTAACCCAGGCGGTCCAGGTGTCGACGTGACCGATAGGAGCACTGCTCAGAGGCGAGTTCTTGATGACTTCTCGGACTTGCTCAAAGTACTTGACGAGAGTGCTGGGCTCGGCGCCAGAGAATTCGCCGTTGGCAATGCCGGTGGGCGAGTGGCGGTAGAGGTCCTCACTGCCAACAGAGATACCAGCAACCAGGCCATTAAGCTGACTGCCGTACTGGGAGACAGTCTTCTTCAGAGCCTCAAGCTCGTTGGCGAAAGCAGCATCACCGGCCGAGGCCCACAGACCGAGCAGAAGAGTTGTCTTTGTGGAAATGGCGGCTGGAATGGCAGAGATGGGGTCGTTAGTGCTTCCTCCCTGGACCATGGTGTAAAGACGAGCGGAGGTGAAGGCGCCATTGGTGCCCTCGAGACTAGCTGCGGTCTTGAATTCGGATTCGAAGTCTGACTGAGCCTTTGCTTTACCGTCGGTGAAGGTAGATCCGTAGTTGAAGCCCTGGAAGGCGCTGGCCGTGGCCGCGGCGTATAGAGCCGCCAGGCTCAGAGAAGCGCGCATGTTTGTGATGCTGGAGGAGGTTTTGAGGTGTTGCAACAGTGTTGATGTGATGGAAGGTAGGCGAGACGATGAAAATTGGGTGGAATTGGGTTTCGGTCCAAAGTTACTGTTGGAGGAGAGACGGGGCCACTCTGGGAGGAGTGTTGACTACGGGTAAATGTATAAAAGCAGGCAGGAAGGTCCAAGGTATTCCAAAAACGAGAGACGGATGGGTGAGGTTGTCCCAGAGTCCCGTAGGTACAGAGCAGGGTGAGGGTCAGGTGAGGTATCGTGAGTGACAGTGAAGGTAGGGAGGAAGAAGAGTGATGAAGTCGGCCGGGCGATGAAAGCATAAAAGGGAAAAAGCAAGTGACGGGTAGGGCACAGCAGGCAAGGAGGGATTCCCCAGACAGTAGGAGGGATGCTTGTTCAGATCACATCACAAGCTTGGGAACTTGGGGGTGGTGTCCTACAGGGTTCCCTGTTCTTTAGACCTCCCCGTCTTCTTTTCTTGGGAAAGCTCTTCACTCTCAGGTCTCAACAAGAAGAACCTTGAAGGACGGGACGGGTGTAAAAGTCTGAAAGAGGCAAGTAAAGAAGCCAGTTGAGTGGTGCCACCACACCAATTTGACAGCACTAGTGTCGGATGTCTCTTCCTCATGCCCCTCCCTCCATCAAAACAACATCGAGGACGCCACCATAGGTTCCTGAGAAACAACAACACACAGCTCCCATGCAGGAACGAGCCAAGGTGAGGTCACTGGTGTGGCCCGTATTCTCTACACAACAACTTTAGCACCATACAAAAGTGTGCTATAAGGTATGGTCTTGCCCCTGGAACGACGGTGGCGACGAGGTCACGCCGGGCACAGGGCAAGGCATTCGGGGCAGGCCCGGTCGAAACACCGACCCAATCACGGCTGCCATCCCATTTTACCGGCGTCCCGGGCCTTCCCATTGCTCCCAACTGGGACGGCCGGGTCCCTGCGGGCTTGCCATATTTAGCAGTCTACACCCACTATTTTCTGCTCCCATGCCCCCATGCCCCTGTCGCTGTCGTCCGGCCAGGCCGTGGCGCCCCTCCCCCGTATTTTCCAGCAACCACCATCATCGATGCCCCCTCCCGGATGACCAACACAAACACCTCATCACTATGCGGGACATTCCATTCGGGCCATCACACTGTCGCTCACTGCTGTTTACTGAGTTGGTTTGGTGCCGTTGTCCCGCGGGGTTGTTCTGCAAAAAGATACGAGTGAGGCTTTGATGTGTGTCAATGATCAGCAACCTCTCAACTTGTTCTTCTCATTCCAAACGTGTTGCAATGGCGCCGGCAACTATCGCCCACAGAGCGAACAAGAGCGACACGAAACTCGGGCGCCCACGCGTCTAGGTGTGCCGTAGAAGAAAGTCTAACGCTGCAGGAGAAATCGAATGAGAAAGGTATTCAGTCTTGACGACGAAAAAAAAGTCTCGAGGACCTGAGGGAAAAGCCACAGAGCAGGGAACCGGCGTGACATCTGCAGGTACCAATGCAAGCAAAGCGCCTGCTTCCCCGCCTACTATGCAGGGGCCCTGGGTAGTAGGCGCCGGGGCTGATTCTGGCTGCATTCCTGGACCTTAATTCTGCAAACACCATCATCACGTTTCTGCTTATTGATCATTCCGGCAAAGAAAAGTCGACATTCTCCTTAGGCTCTATTGAGAAACTTTTGGCATTGCAGTCTCAGTGTGCGAATACCAGTTGAGCAGCATCGGCGCCCGGGAGGGCAGCTATTGCCGGAGCATTGCCTCCCAGTCATACAAAGCTATCAGTAATACTACCCGCAAAACGCAGGACTTTCTCTCTATGACAGAGCTATTGGGATGGGTCTCAACACTTAATGTCATCCCATCTAATGACAACTGCTCACACCCAGCCGAAGTGGATCGGCATCTCCAACTGGAAAACCCGACATAAAGCCAATGGATAGGAGAGCCGAATGGGTTTTGGCATCTCTTGATGCCCAGCTGGCGCCTCTGGAAGACATCTGGCAGCACCTGGTGACGTATCACGTTCCTTGGTCAAAGTCCTAGATTCAAGAGCCCAATCTGGTTCACCGAACGTCGTCAGACGGGTAAAAGTGGGACAGGGGACTAGGCATCTTCACGTTGTCATCATACCGACAGATAATCACCTTAATCGACTTACGTTCTCAAAAGATGCCAACCAACGCTTATCGCGGGCACGTATCGCCATGGCAGAATACAAGGCAACACTACCCATCAGCCCTCAAGGGTAAGAAGAGCAACGAAAGCACCGGCATCAATCATAAGGATTGAGCTGACATCCTTAGGTCCATCATCTCGGACTCCAACGCGGCCCCCGAGCAGAAGCCAGTTGTCCGTGTCACTAAAGTGAAGCTATCGCGTACAAGCACACGCAAGGTACGCACCGGGTGCATTACTTGTAAGAAACGTCATATCAAATGTGACGAGTCCAAACCACATTGCGGCAACTGTCTGCAGACCCGCGGCCACTGTGAAGGTTATCTCCCGGATCAGAAGAAGAACAAAAAGTCCTCAGGGCCCGCAGAACTCTGTTGGGATTCTACCCAGGCCATCATCCCTCGAGTAGCAGCAGCAGCAGCAGCAGCATCGCCCACGGCGCAGACGAAACTGAACATCAACACGGTCGACTTCCGCGATGACAACAGCATGTCCTACTTCCAGGAGTTCGTCGGCCTGGTCCGAGGCCCGTGGATGAGAGCTGCCTCTACCGGCGATCTGTGGGAAGTCATGCTGCCCCAGCTGTCCCGCAACAATGGCACTCTCCGCTCCGCCGCCATGGCCATCGGCGCCTTGAGCGTGTGGTACCGCCAGTCCGCCTATGTCTCCCTCCATGCCATCACCGTACCCGACCAGCCCACCGCGCAAGGAGACACCCACTACTTCCAGGCTGTAGCTCACTACTGCGACTCTCTTAAGATGCAGTGTAGACGGGCCTCCGCCCAGGACGCTGTCTTCCTCTCTGTCCTCCTCCTCTTCTTTGAGATTCTTCGGGGCAATAGGAAAGCCGCACTCGATCACGTCAACCACGCTCTGTCCCTTCTCCTCGCCCTCGTGACGGACACAGATGCCCACCATCGCCTAGCCGACCTCGCGCCTAACCCCATGCCCGTCATTGGCGCCGTGGCAGATGTCTTCAACCATTTGGCGAAGCAGGCCCGCACCGTCTTCAGGGGTCGTATCCTCGACGGCCCGCCCCTCCCAAATCTTGCAAAGCGCCTGCAGAGTACGAATCAGACAATGGAGACCTTCATGATGCTCCTCAACCAGACGCAGAGCGAGGCCGCCAATTCACCAGAGTCTTATCCCGACTCGTTCGATACCCTCGAACAGTTTGAGCAAATCTGGCCCGCCATACGACGTCACCAAGCCGCCATGGGCGCCGTCATGGAGGACATATTCAAAAAGTCTGGCTTCCGCGGCGCAGACGACGACGTCACCATCACCAAGCTCCACCTCGAGCTCTTTGGGAACCCTCGCATTCTCAGCTTTTGCGAAAACTTCCACAAGTCCATGGTCAAGCTCAACACGGGCTTCCAACCCCTCTTCAATCAAATCATGCAAGCCGACGTCGGATCTCCGACCTACCTCCGCGCCATCCTCCTACGCATCGAGTTCATGGGCGTCTACATCTTCAGCAATGCGCCCTCCTTTATCGAAGACGCGAGCGCCCGCGCCCTGACGCCGCTGTACCGCGAGTACATCTCCCTTGCGCACATCGCCACGAGGGCCGCCAAGAAAGAGTTCGAGACGAACCCGGCCCACCACCTCTCTCTACAGTGCAGCCTGAGCTGGTGCCTCCTCATCATCTCCCTCTTCTGCCGCGACCCTCTCGTGCGCGACGAGGCCATGTGGATCTTGAAGGAGTACCCGGGCCAGGACGGCATATGGAGCATCCGCGCTCTGTACGCCCTGGCTCTGCGGAACCGCCACGTCGAGCGGGTGAACGCCATCGGCACGCCCGACGAACAGTGGCGCCGGCTGTGGCGCCGCGAATTCGTCTTCGAGGACAGCGGCGACCGCGTCGTGCTGCGTTACATGGAGAGAGACGAGACGGCGAGGAAGTGGCAGCTGGTGGAAGAGGCGGCCGATATCCCCAGAGACGGCGGGGAGGCCCGGTGGAAGCGGCAACCTCTCACGATACATAGCGGACTGCTCATCTTGGACCTGTTTAACGCTGTGGCTCAGGGTGACATGGACACGAGGTTACCGATTGGCAGGCCATGCTGAGAGGTTGTGGAGAGACTGCAAGAGAGAGAGGCACGTTTCTAGATGCGATTCAAAGTGGCGTCTCTAAATATGCTAGTTTGATACCCCCGACAATGAATCTGAATAAAACCGCAGTACATTTACCAACAACGCTGTCTGTTTAATGAGTATGATTTAAGACTTCTACTTATACACTTCGTTTACTTTCGGCTACAACATTCCCACGTCCTCCCAATATGGACCGAAGCTATTGGTCGAGGGCCTGACTTTGACACTGTTACAAGCCATGTTAGCAAAGCAAGATCATCCGAGCTAGGCATTATCGGAGAGCACAACTTACCATTTCCCAGTATACGCCCTGTTTCCGAATAAGCTCGCCGTGGCTTCCCTTCTCCACCACCCGCCCCTCGCTAAACACGAAAATCACGTCTGCGTTCTGAATCGTCGACAGCCGGTGCGCCACGGCGACGACGGTGCGGCCGTCGCGCGCCCTCTCGAAAGCCGCCTGCACAATCTTCTCCGACTCGGAGTCGAGCGCCGACGTGGCCTCGTCCAACAACAAAAGCTTCGGCTCGCGGATGAGGGCGCGCGCGATGGCGATGCGCTGCTTCTGGCCGCCCGACATGGAGACGCCCTTGGCACCGACGTCGGTGTCGTACCCTTCGGGCAACGAGATGATGAAGTCGTGGATGAAGGCGTCGATGCAGACCTCGTGAATCCTCTCGTCCGAGATGGCGCTCGGGTCGTCGATGCCGAAGAGGATGTTGTCGCGGACCGTGCCGCGGAACATGATGGGTTCTTGCGGTACGAGGGAGAGGTTCCGACGGTAGTCGTAGACGTCGAGCTCGTTGATGTCGACGCCGTTGCAGAGGATCGAGCCGTGGTTCCGGTTCAGATCGTAGAAGCGTTCCAGCAGCGAGATGATTGTCGTCTTACCGCATCCCGAGGGTCCGACAAAGGCCGCGTACTGGCCCTTTTCAATGGTCAGGTTCAAGCCCTCGAATACGACGACGTCGCGCGTGGGGTACTTGAAATGGACGTCTTGCAGCTCGATCCGCACGCCGCCTTCGGACTCGGCAATGTCTTCCACACCTCTCGTCGCACTCTGGCCGACGTCTGCCGACTCCCGCACGTCGAGGATCCGGTCCGCCGCCGCAGCCGCCTGCGCGGCGCTGGGCGCCACAGCCAAAGTTTGACTAGCCGCTTCGGCGCCCTGGATAATGGCCATGAAGCAGACGAAGAATGCCTCCATGGAGTACTCGCCAGTGGCAAGAAGTCTGCCGCCGTAGTAGAACACCAGTGCCTGGCAACCGAGACTCACACTGTCGGCAAATCCATACAGCGCAGCCGTCCACTGTGCTTTGCGGCGAGCCTCGAGGATGTGACCGTTTAGGAGCTTCTCGTACCGCGCGTTGATGGTGGACTCCATGCCGAGAGAGGAGACCGTCCTGATTGCTCCGATGGCTTCGGTGGCAAACTGTGAACTCTCTCCGAAAACAGCCATGTTCATCTTGTCGAATTGGACCTCGTGCCTGTATTTCCAGAGGCCTGCGCCCAACATGATTGGCATGGTGATGAACATGGCAACCAGGCCGAGCTTCCAGCCAAAGATGAGAGCGATGATAACACATCCGAGAACGGTGAAGACGCCAGAGAGCAACATGGCCAGGTTCAGCCCGAGGAGTTCCTCCAACAACTTCGCATCGCCCGAAACCCTGGCGCTCAAGGCGCCGTGGGAGTTCTTATCCTGATCGAAAAAGCTAATCTTCTGATGAAGCATATCGGTCAGATATTGCCTCTTGTACTCGGCGCTGACAAAATACTGCAGCCGCAGGCCGACCCAGCCCTGGGCGACGTACGCGAGACCGACGCCCCCGGCGAGGGCGAGCCACATCAGACCCCAAAAGCTCGCCTGTCTCCTCAGCTCGTCGCCAGTTAGTAAAAAGACGGCAATGACTTTGGAAAATAGCCATGCTTGTATCGGCGTGCCGGCCGCGGTCGCCATGCAAGACAAGATGACAGCAGCATACGACGTCCACTTTGCTCGCCTCTCAAAGAGGAGTTTACCAAAGCTACGAACCAGGCCTCGAGGCTCATGCGATGAATCACCCTCGGCAGTGTCGGTAAAGGCGGCACTTCTGAAGTGCTCATGGCCGTTGACCTTCTCCTCTGTCTCCGAATCAAGCCCAGAGGTAGATGCCTCGGACACCGACTTTCCAGGCGTTGACAAGTTCAGTGCTTGAGCCCTTACCAGTGAGCTATAGACACTGGACGGGTCACTCAGGAGGCTTTGATGGGTTCCTTGCTCGACCGCCTGACCTTTTTGTAGTACTACAATATTGTCTGCTTTCTTGATGGTTGAAAGCCGATGGGCGATGGTAATGGTAGTTCGGCCTTGCGTCACTCTGTCAAGCGCAGCCTGGACTATCTTCTCACTCTTGGCATCGATAGCACTTGTTGCTTCGTCGAGGATGATGATACGAGGCTTCTTGATGATACTTCTAGCGATGGCAAGTCGTTGCTTTTGGCCACCTGAAAGCTTTGCTCCGCCGTCGCCAACTCGAGTATCATAGCCCTGTGAAAAGGTCGAAAGTCAGTCAAATGTTTTTTAGAGTAATCAGATGATTACAAGAGGCAACTGTAATGAACTTACATCAGGTAGTCGGCTGATGAACTCATGGGCGTATGATTCCTGGCATGCGTCACGAACAAGCTCCCGTTTCACCGTCTCAGGCTCCTTCTCCCACTCGGTACCGATGAGACCATTCGCAACGTTGCTGAAAATGGTGTTGTTGAAGAGAAAGGGCTCTTGCTGAACCAGACCGACTTGGGATCTCCACCACTTGATGTCAAGATCCTCCAAATTCACGCCGCCGACGGTGATTAAGCCAGCCAACTCGGGTCGAATAAGTGACTTGGACTCGTCGGTGACGCTCTCAACTCTCTCGGCTCCTGGCTTCTCGGACGACGAATCATCAATAACCCGGGGCAATGCGTGCTGCTCTCTTAGGCTATACCACCGCTCCAGCAAGCCGACAATGGTACTCTTTCCTGAACCGGATGGGCCGACAAGGGCGACGTTCTGACCTGGCTGTATGCGGAAGCTCAGCGAGTTGAGAACCTTGACTCCAGCTCGGCTGGGGTATTCGAACGTCACGTCCTCAAAGACAATATCCTCTGCGTCAATTTCCGGCTTCATAGTACCGGAAGGAGGCAAAGGTGCGTCAATCACTGTGAAGAGCTCACAGGCCGCGACCATTGCCTTGCTTACGGCGATGACCGGCGTTGAAATTCTCTCCAATGAAGTCAAAATCATCATCACGGACATGAGCACCACGACAACAACGCCGGCATCGCTGAGGGCGCCGGCGATGTATCTCTGCGTGCCGTACCAGAAAGCCAGGCCGAAAGCACCGAATACGCCAAAGAACTGAAATCATGTTAGCTCTCGCTCGCGATTTGGGAACTTGGCTGAACAGGGGAATAAGACGTACGATGAGGCCAAACTGAATTGCAACAACAGGAGCAGTTTTCTGAGCCCGCCTCCTGGCTTCGTGCACCCATGCCTCGTAGCGAGAGATAATGTGCTTCTGCGCACCGCAAGCCATGACCAACCGCACTCCGCCGAGGGCTTCGCTCGCGATCGCGGTGCCCTGTGCATCAGCTTCCGTCGTTTCAGTCTCCCCCTTGACGATCACCGGCAAGCAGAAGGACAGGACTAGGAGAATGTACAGAATCAGCGACGAAGTGACCAAGGTCAGATCCCAGCTCCAAATGAAGGCGATGACCAGGGCGGCCCAAATCGTGCCGTTGAACTGCAAGAATGTCCCTAGACGATCAGAGATACCGATTTGCAAGGTGGCAGACGTGCCAGTGATGGCCGTCGCGGCAGCACCGGGCGGCATCGAGTCAATGACGTGGATCGACTGGTCGAACAGCGAGCGGAGGTAGTGCAGGCGGATAGCGGACGAGAGCCGGATCCCAATCATTCGGAAGCAGAACTTGTTAATGGCGTTGAGGAACCAGCGGCCGAGGAAGAGCGCCGTGATGTACAGGGCCTGGCGGTTCAGAAGGCTCTCAAACTGCGCCGTGGTAACGGTCGAGCCGTTGGCAAAGTAGCCTGTGAACTGGCCGACGAGCTGGCCAAAGATGATGTTCATCAGAGGTAGCGTCACGCCTGCGGCGATGGACGCGAACGCCGCAACCACGTAGACGAAGAAGTCCCATTTCGTTGCGTAGGTGAAGACCCTGAGATAATCCGCAAACTTTGGCTTTCGCACTGGAGCCTGTGTACCCGTCGTCGAGGTGATCTCGTCGGTCCGGACTGGAATCTTCGCCATGTTTTGGCACCACCTTCGTAGGTGTCGTCGTGCCTCTTGAGCTTGATCTTCTTTTCTGGCGTTTAGATATCGATGTCGTGCAAAGAGGCTTTCCGTCCTAGATTAGTGCCCCTTTTTTTCGCCTTCCGTGTGTTAGTCTGACAGTTTCCTTCCAGACTTTGACAGGAGAAGGAAATTGAAGGTTACTTTTGGGGGTGTGAGAAATCCGTCCGTACGGATGCTTTCCTGCTTGCTTCATCCATCCTGATGACTTTTTGTCCCATTGATGTTTTGACGTCAGAAGGTCCGACCTCGTGCTTCAAGGCGACGGACGTCCTTTTCCTCTGGTTCTTGGGCCTCTTTTTTGCTCTATCTTGTTTTCCAACTTGACGGCAATGTGCATGCAGCAAATCGAAACGAGGCACTGCTGTCGATAGGCCGTGTAAGTGGAGGTCCGAGAATCCAACAACGAGCCGAGAGCCACTACATGATGAGACAATTTCCTTCGCGACGGCGAGACCGAGGTGGAAAACCATAAAAAGTCTGATGACGAGTTGAAGTGAAATTTCTCAGTCTTCCATAGACTCGAGGCTTGATGAGAGCGAGCCCGATGCGACATCTCCCTTCCATTTTCGTACTTCTTTCCACACTTCGTCTCTGAGAAGCTGATCCCACGCTTAAAGCTGTCCCAGACGGGCAGTT